TATATATATATATATATATATAATGCGCGCATTCAAAATAAGAAATCCAGGGTACCCTGGACTCGGCGTGCCAATTTCCTATTTTGTTCTTTCTCATGTTGTCTTCGCTAGTGTTGTTCGCGCATCAAAAAACAAGGAAATAAGGGAGTTTCCAAAAGCTCGATGCCAAACCCTTACAGAGCAAACCGAGAAATGACAGCACGGGAGGATTCGAGACAACAGCACTTTCCACTCAAGCTCATGTGCTTATCCACTCGGGCGCGGCAGCCGCCAGAGTTCTGAAACGCCACTATACCGATCCCTTTTTGCCCAGCATGTAAGCAGCCCTTACCAGAACCCCCCAAAATGAAAAATCGAGCCCCATTTAAGAAATCGAGCCCTCAATTTCTTATTCTGGCGGGTTTTTCCTATACGGCAACTACAAAGTCTCCAAAGCCCTCCAAAGCTGTTATTGAGGCCTTTTTAAGCCCTTATTAAATTTAAGAAATTGAGGGGCTCGATTTCTGGGTTCTGGGCTTGCGGAATAAGGGCTTAATAAGGCCTTAATAACAGCTTTGGACGGCTTTGGAGGCTTTGTCACGGCTTACTTAATACGGACTTGCCGTATAGGAAAAAGCCACCAAAATAAGAAATTAAGAGGCTCGATTTCAATTTCTTAAATTTGAAACATTGAGGGGCTCGATTTCTTGTTTTGGGTGGTTCTGGTAAGGGCTGCTTACATGCTGGGTAAGAAGAGATCGATATAGTGGCGTTTCAGAACTCTGGCGGCTGCCGCGCCCGAGTGGATAAGCACATGAGCTGGAATGGGAAGTGCTGCGGGCTCGAATCCTACTGCGCCTTCATTTCTTGTTCTTGTTTCTTATTTGCTGCCGTTGCAAATTGAGAAATTGGGTTAAGAAATCCAGGGTACCCTCAAATCCCGAAACGTTTGTTTCACTAAAAAAGGTGTGCTTCAAACAGAAGAAATCGAGCCCCCCCTCACGAAAATTTAACTGCTTCTTAACCGGCGCTGTCGCTGTACCCAGAAGCTCTCAGAAACTCTTGTCCCGTCAGGTCATACTCTCAGCAGCGGCTGGTTTGCATGTCGCTGAGCCGGCTGCGATGACGGCCGTGGTGATCGAAGACTGAAAGCACCGGAGCCAGTCCCCACAAAGGGCAACTCGAAAGCTCGTCCTGGGGCAATCATGTAAACAGGTCACACTCACATGGTTCTCAGGATGCCAGAAGCAAGCAAGTGCAGGCCCAGCCTCGCAAAGATCCCAACACCCCGAGAGATACCGAGTAGACAAAGTACCTGTGCAGTGTTCAGAGGCCGCGTCTAGCCTAACGGCCTGAGAATCGAGATGCTGTGTCACAGAAAGACGATAGCTCGTGCAAGATTCGCCAACGGTCCTGGCCTCGTTTCAGCTTCGTTTCCACATTCCAACACCCTGAATTGCCTCACTTGATAACTGGACACAACCAGGCCAACGGCGTAGCGCCGAGGAATTGGAGCAAGAAATTGGCCGGGAACCTGGAAGTGGCCATACAAAGGAAATCATGTTGCGAGACAACATTTGTGAATGACGGAAAACTACTGTTGGTGAATGACAATCCATGCAGGCATGCTTGATCAGAAACTGGTTCAGGCACTCTGCGCGCTACAGAGATTGCAGTTGTGGCTCATTTCCCGTGCGCATCTGCGACTGTGTGTCTGTCTTTGTGTCTGTCTGTCTGTGTCTGTGTCTGTGTTTCTGTTTGTCTGTGTGTATGTGTGCGTGTTTGTCTGTCTGTGTGTGTGTGTGTTTGTTTGATTGTTTTGATTGTTTGATTGTGTGTTTGTCTGTTTGTCTGTTTGTCTGTGTGTCTGTGTGTCTGTGTGTCTGTGTGTCTGTGTGTCTGTTTGGCTGCTTGCTTGCTTGCTTGGTTGTTTGGCTGTTTGGTTGTTTGTTTGCGATTGTTTTCTGTTGCGGCCGCTGCCGCTGTAGTGGCTGATATGGATTGTTTTGGGGATGGGCGAGTCGTCAGCTGACCTTTACCTGGAATGGAGCAGAGCAGTCCTAGAGCGGAGATTTTGGCTTTGATTCTTGGCGCTCAGCAGTCACTTGACTGCACTGTGTGTAGTGACTGCAACTATGTGGCTGAAACTGCAAATTTACGCATGTCCATGCTGCAGGCTGGACAGAAGCCCCCACACATGGAACATGATGATCTGTGGCTGTTGTTTGACGCTTCAATTACAAGCAGACCTTGCGGCCAGGTTACATTGGTTACAGTTAAGGCGCACAAATCATTGGATGATGCGGCTGACCATGTTGAAAAGCTTTGTTGCCACTACAACGCATTGGCAGATGCAGCTGGCAAGAAGGCTGTCAAGCAATCACGGTTGGCACCCTTCGCACAGTTGCGAACCCTGCACAGCAAACAAGTGCAGGTTAACAAAGTTGTTGCACGATTCCATTGTGTTCCTCGCTGAATGCGCCGCATTGCAGCAAAAATCCGTGCAGCGACAATCCCAGTTTGAAACCTCAGTGCTTGATGTGAGTGGGCCATGTTTCCGGCATTTCGCCGTGATGGATGCTTCCATTCTTGATGCATTCCCTTACACACAAGTGTTCGGTAAATCTCTTTGTGAATGGGCTCAGAAGCTTGTCTGGGCTGAGCACCATGAGCATGCGAATACCTCGTTTGCTGAGCTGCTTGTCAACTTTATCCATTCTGCCAGGGTTCGGCCGCCCATCAACATTCATAAATTTAGGCAGGTTGGAAAGTACCGACGGCCTTGTTTCCGCATGCGTGAGGAATGTGCCGGTGATTAACACAGTTCCCCGTCAGGATGATCGCTCTCTCCCTCCGAAGGCTTGCTCTCACACGCGCCGGGTTGCTCCCCTTTGATACTTACTCTCTCAGGGCTCGGGGCTCGAACCGCTCACGGCTTGAGCCAAAATGGCTACTGTCTGTCTCTCTCTGTCTCTCTCTGTCTGCCTGTCTGCCTGTCTGTCTGCCTGTCTGCCTGTCTGCCTGCCTGTCGTCTGTCTGCCTGCCTTATTTTGAGTTGGCCGACTACATTCAACTGGGTTTCAGTCGAATTGCGTGAGAAGCTTTTGAAATAGCCAAAAACTACCTTCTCAGTGATAGCATTTGGTGTTACGGACCGGTGTGCCAAGGCACCATTTGGCACTGCTAAAGGCGCAGCCATGCAGCCAGTTCCGTCACAACAATCTGGCCGGCGAGACTGCATCATCATCAAGGTTGATGCTTGACGACCTAAGGGTGCTACGCGGAGCAGCAGATTGACAAACCGACTCTGTGTATGCCTGAGCTGGCATGCCCAAGGAACACGTGAGTGGATGCAGGGACCTTGCACAGGCTGAAACTGACAGCTGAGACAACACGCTCAAGCTCGGGCGTCCACTTATTCCGCGCCTTGGTCGACGGAAGTTGTCACAGCATGTGCTACATCTTCGTCTGCAACACGAATGTGATGTCGATCCATGTCAACCAGATTTCATGGAACTGCCATATGCAGTGAAGCGATTGAGCACGCACTCTGTCTCGGATGCAGTCGGGGCACAATGAGGCCATAGAGGGCTGCTATGGAAAGTAGATTTGCGAATCTGGAGGAATGGTATGCCTTGGGCTCAAGGCGTGAATTTCCTGGTAGCGGAGGTGTGAAGCAACTGGGAATGCTGCTAGAACCAGGGGCAGGAGCGGCTTCAACAGGAGCTCACGCAGCATCGACGAGCTGGCGAAAAACTGCTCACCATAGGGGATCGCTAGAACCTTCCGTGTGGTGACCAGCATGGTCCATAGGTGTCACCATGCCACATCATTATTAACGCCAGCACGCTGCAAGCCAAGAACAGGCAAGTCACGAGGGGTCCCAAAAAGCATAAGGCACCCAAAAATCTTGCAGCTACCTTGGCGATCGCGGACAGACAAGACCCAAGTGACAGGAAGCTTTCCGTTACTTGTGCAAGCCAGATACAGGTGCACCAGAAAAGCTGGTCAAGCTGCGCCGTCTCGGCCCACCTCTAGGAATCCGCAAGGAGATGAGCAGCACGGCATGAAGTCAGCTCGGCGAGACATGACAAGAGCGCCTTGCCGGGCAGGTCGGATCCAACGAACTTGACTCACCTCCTGTGCAACAAGGATTCGAGCATGATGATCCTGCATGAAGGGCTTGACAAGCTGAGACCTTCTTGCGCCGCCTGCTCTTCATTCTGCCCACCTTAATCATCTGGTCTCGCAGCAACAGCAAAGGCCAGTCGGTTCCTGAGCAACCGACTTCTCGCCTCAAGCTGTCGTACAGAAGCCGATCACTGGCAGACCTGGTCAGATAGAAGCCGCCCCAGCCTTGCCTAGGGCTTGTGGGATCTTGGGATCTCAGAGTCTCACGAGTCGGCTCTCCTCGGCGCTCGCCGCACCAGAGCCTTGCTTGGCTCTCGATACTGGAAATTCTCTTCCTCTCGATTTGCCGAGGCACCGCTCCTAGCACCGTTAGGAGAGGTGAGACTTCGCAAAGTCTCGCCGCTGCGGATCTCTCAGTCCGAAGATGTTCATGGTCTGTGCAAGGCCATGAGATTCCAGACATTAGCGCTGCCTCTCCAGATCAATTTGGCTCGGCCTGGTGCGCTTGGGCTTGGCAGAATGCCTAGCCTGGGGCACCTGGCAAACTCGTGCATCACCAGCTTACGGCCGTTCAGTCTTGGTGGGGGCACCGCGCGACAGCCGCCGGCGCGACTGTGAACACTCCAGCTCTTGCCATGGCGGCAGAGAGTCATTCAGCGTCACAACCAAGCTTCCGGACCGGTGCTGCTTTAGTGCCTCCTAGTGCGCACAGCCAATTTCATATGCAGGAGCGCTTAGGGATCTGTGTGTGAAGTTGCAGATACACGTTGAACGCCCTTGTCGGGAATGTCGTGATTTGCTCGGGTCACTTGTGTCGAGAGTTTGAAAATTAAAGCTGACGTGGCGGTAGTTCCGGCAGCAATGTGCCCGAGCACTGTCCACGAGCAGTCCTCGGCTCCAAGTTCCAGACGAAGAGCCTCGAGAAAGTGTATGGCAGAGTCTTCGCTGACGTCTGCCGCCTCCACCTTTGCGTTCGCTGCTTCTTCTCTCAGAGAATGTGCCTTGAGTCGCAGGGCAGCCATCTGTTCTTTCGTCTTGTCAAGCTCTTTGCCCTTGGAAGCACACTGCTGGCCGAATTTCCGGCTTTGCAAGGTCGCAGCATTTGCGCGCTGCCGCAGTCGGGCAACGGCTGTCAATCCTCGCAGGTACTGAACGTCCTTGTAACACTCGAGCTGCTGTTGCGCAAGGTCGCTGACCTGCATACCAAGCTCGCTGACCTCTCAGGGATCCAAGACTCTAAATTCGCCTCGGCCCCGGCCCAAACGCTCAGGGGTTCCTAGAGGGAGGTCCCCACCTCTTTTTTCCCCTCACCCACCCCTCGAAACGTCCCTGCACCCCCCCCCCCTCCTCTGCGTGAACCTCAAGATCCCACGATGAAATTTCGTTTCCTCCAATGACTTTGGGCTCGCTCTAGGGCAGTCGCTTACCTTTTCCCTTGCTTCCTCCTCTTTTCGCCGCATCTTGGCCTCCCCGCCGTTCCTCCCCCCACTTCCCCCGCCCTGCTGGACAACCGCCCTTTTGGGCAGAAGACTTGAGCAAACGTCATCGCCGCTGCACACTGAGACTGCAAGGCTTCTGCGCCAGAAGGTTCTCGCCTCGCAAAATTTCTTCGGCAAGGCACTGCGCTTGCTCCCAGTACGCTGCGGGATGCTGCGGGTTTATGGTTTCGGGTTTAAGGTTGAAGCTTCTTTTTTTTGTCGAGGGCCTTTTTGGTGTCTGCTCGAGTTGCATCATCCAAACCTTGGGGTTTAGAGTTTCGGGCTCGAGGCCTATGGGCCTGGGTAGGCTTTCGGGTTGCTGCTTTCCGAAACGTTGCACCTGCAACCGGGCCGGGGATGCCGATTCGTTTAAAATCATCCCGTTTTCGAAAACCCCTCCAAGCGTCGCAACATCTTGCTGCCGACCTCTTCAGCAAGGCTCTCGAGGTGCTCTCTCTCCTCCTCATCAGGCCGTTGGCCTGGAGCTGCGTCAGACTCGGCCCCTTCGATGCACTCCTCCTCCATCAATTTACGGAGATACTGACGGCTCTCCACGGATTGCCTGGCAAGGTGGGACGTCGCCATCGTCGTGGCATCCAGGAATCCTCGTAAGAATCGCACGTCTGCCCGAACTGCCGCTAGTTCCTTTCGCACCGTCTCCAGGCGGCGCGGCGAGCAAGCAGCTCCCCAGACATCACAGCGGCTTCGAAGGTTGCACTGATTCCAAGCCGCTGTTGTAGCAGTTCTGTCGGTCTGTGGTATCCTCGGCGGTCTTTCGCAAACACTCCCACCAAGAGAGCGCCCAAGCATGGACACGCCTGAGTGCCGAGGCTTTCGAGGTCTGCAAACAACCTCGAAGACCTGTCACAAACCAGGAAAGTGTCGAGCCAAGTCGCTCCCCTTAGCAGTGCATGCAGCGCGCAAGAAGTGATCTTGCTGCGAATTCCCGCCAGCCGCGTCCACAAGGTCAGATCCACGAAACTCAGTGCGGGTTCTGGGTGTGGATGAACCTGCAAAACCTGCAGAGTGTGGCATAGACTGGCGACGTCTGGTCTCCTTCCGTGAGCACAGACCGGCCTCTGTCGACACGCTTCCTGCGACTCCGTGGGCTGCATAGCCGCGATGCGGATGCGGTCCTCGTGGGCACGCTGGAGCTCCGAAGCTTCTGGGCTTCACGGTATCGATGCTGCGAGGAATAGCTGCGATGCCCATTGTCAGCTGACATACGAGCTTCGTGCACCTATGCGGCATGCATCACTGCTTGTCTTAACCGTGTCTCAACCTGTTCATTGAAGCTTCCTGAGATCTGCTCTCTAAGGAGCAGCTGGCATCCCTGATTGGTTCTAAAGCCAGAACGCAGGCCCGAATTGCACGCCCTGAAGTCGTAACTGGCAATGTCTTACCACTACGTGTCGTACAGGACTTGGGACCGCGAGCCAAGCTGTCGAAGACGAGAGCAAGGAGCACGTGCCCTTATTGTCTTATGCGAATCCAGCATCAGCATGGGTAGCAGCTTGCAGTCTGCTTGCAGTCTTTCGACATCGTCCCTCCTTCACGGGTGGACAGTCGACACAGCTTGCACTCATGTGCAGCGTGTGGCACATTAGCTCTGCGATGGTGAAGCCAGCGAGCTTCAGGACATCTCGACGCAACAGCATACAGGTCTTGCTGAATGTGCTGGTATGTGCTGGACACTTGCGAAATGTCTTGGTACAAGTACGTCAGTGAAGTCCCGCATAGCCCGCTCTGGGCAAATGCCCTGCTTGCGTTCGGTTGTCACCAGTCGCGCTCCGGATCATTGTGAAGGACTGGCAGCAGGCACGAGACTTGACGCATCGCGCTTGCCCTAGGCTACGCTAAATTCCAAGAGCCTTTGCTTCGACATCGTTGTGGGCGCTGAAGCCAGAACCTCCGCGCTCCAGCTTCAAGAGATCCTGCGCGCAACGAGGCTGCACTCCTAAAACCGCCCACGAGATTACTACGACTGCCGCCTCCTCGCCTCGCAACTTCTTTCCAGTGACCTGGCTGGAGAGGGGAGGGGAGGGAGGTGGGGAGGGCTCATCTCGTGCTTCCAAGCGGCTGGGCACTTCATCTCTTTGCTAACAATGTCCTTCCAGACCCTTTCCAGAATGACGACCTCACGACAATGGGCAGGGTAGACGAACTGTGAAGCAAGAGTTACGGGACAACGTTGGAAAATTTGTCAACCCAAATTTGACATCCAGCTCAGCTTCCCCATGTTACCTCATTGCCGAGTCAAATCAGCCATGTCATCATGCAGTGTCGTGTCTTTGCGTCGGCAGAGCCCACGTGCTATTTGGTCGTTCTTGTAAGAGTGAATGCTAGACAATACTACTCGATACAGTTTATGTGTGTGGTGAATGTGCATAAACAGTTATCAGCAACAATGCACATTTATGACACATGAATGCGAACTCTGAATTATATACAGCAAAAGTTGGTCTAGAGTCTAGAGTCTAGATATTGATTGCAGCACAGCCCTGGCGGAATTTTGACCGAAGCTGGACACAGCATGACCAAGCCTGGCCCGCTGCCCAGCGGCACTAACAAGACTTGACAAACAGTCTGTTCACTAGATCAAGCGCGAGTAAGGTTGCGGCTCCGCTGGGCTTCAGAAGAAGTGCCTCAGGCGTCTGCAGCATTGCATCTGAGCATGTCCACTGCTGTCGACTGGCCTGCTGATGGATGATGGCGTTCTTGGATACCGCACAGCAGTACACACCTTTGCCTGGCCGCAGCTACTGTACTTGTTGGTTTGCGCTGGCGAAAGATGTCACCAGAAGGTGAACGCCTCCGCCCTGATCCATCAGTTTTTGATCTGCGATCTCCATCTTCACAGGAATGAGATCCTGGCGGACGTGCCGTCTGAGTATCAAAAGACTTGTGTAAGCAGCACTGGACCTCGGCTACGGTTGCGCCTTCACCTTCAGCTTCTTGCCAGTCATCGGGCATCTGGTCGTCGCGTCGACCTACGAAGCGTAGAAGTCGCGATTCAAGCCAAAAAGAGCTGCAGGGGCTCGGACTTTCTTGACTTCTGTTGGCGCAGCTGTAGGTGTGAACTCCTGCAAAGCAAGGCGGAAGGCTGTGGAACATAAGACCAAGCCTTTGTCTTTCAGAAGTTGCTTTTCCTTGGTCCAGAAGCTCTTGGCTCTCCTTAGCACGACGTTCTGACATGGTGCATCAGGGGAGCATGCGGTGCATGCTATGGACGTAAGAACAACCATGGACTGCACCAAGTGTCAGCTGACTTTTATCAACCACCAACAGCTCGCCCCTTCTCAGCTTCTTTTCGGGCCTTACGCAGGTCTCGCTAAATATCTGTGCTCAAGACTCAAGAGGCACGGGACTAGGGCTCAAGCACACCTTCTCGGACGGCATCAACCTGTTCTAAGGCCCGTTTGTGTCTGTGGTCCTGTCAGATGTGAGGTACAAGGCGCTATCAAGCTTCGGAAGGCGACGTGCCAGACTCCTGCGACAGCAAGCCCTGCTCAGCATTTGTGAAGGCCGCCAGCTCTTTCAATTGCACCTCATCAAAAAGATCAAAAAGCAGGAGAGCGCGCCACACTTTTCAAGGCCGGCGGACATGTCCCAACATTGTATCACACAGAAAGGACAACAAAGGACGAGAGAGATGGAGAGAGCGTGCACAAACCGAGCAATCAGACAGTCAGACGGCAAGACCTCATGCCTTCTTTCTCAGGTTGCAAAGCCTGACGGTTTGACCGTCCGAAGTCCGAAAGCCGACTAACTTTCTGTTGTCTGACCGAGTGACCGATTGATCGTCTGACTGACAGAAACCGAGCAGTCGCACACCATTTTGCTGCGACTGCAACTTGGGAGATGGCTGAGCAGTCTTGAATCATCGAGGTGAGCCGAACTGTATCTCTTCATCCGTCAGTTCGCTCTTACGCCAATCGCTTCTGCCCGGTAAGATCCAGCCGCGGGGCCTCTTTGTCTGCAGATAGGAGTCTCTGTTCGCGCTGCCTCTCCTGAACGTCCACGGCTCAAAACCTGTGAGTTTCATCTCAGCAAAACCCTGCCTGCTCCTCAAACTTCTTCTGCTCTGCCTGCTTGCGTCATGATCGATTCTTTCATGAAGCGAACTAGTTAAGATCGGCAACCCTGGCAAACGGGCTGCCCAAAAGCAACGTGTGTAACCTGGCTCCGCATTGCTCCTTTCCTGGATATCAAGCTTCTGCTGCAGCAGATATTCCAGGATGGCTTCCCGGTCAAAGATGTGGCCATCAGGCCTCAGCCGACGCTACTCGCGACACCGAACGGCTTTGGTGCGAAACACTCAGGCATCTCACGTAGCAACCGGGTCCTGGCCAGGCTCACTTTACAAACAGCTTCCTTCAGACTCCCCGATGCTGCTTGCAGGATTACCTTTGCTTGTTGTAGAAGCGACTGACAAAAAAGCTGAGGGAGCAAGAGACGCATTTTCTGTGGGCGGAAGCTTGCTGCTCGAGAAAGGCTTCCCGCACAGCGCCGCAGCGCATCACATGACGTGGCTCTGCCTTGACCGTCTTCGTCGCAAAGCTGGAGTTGCTGGGCGGCTGTGCTACGATTTCCCGTTGATCGGCGTCTCGGGCTGAAGGACAATGCGTGCGCCATGATGTTTCATCGGGCTCGACGACTCGACAGCACCCTGAAGACCGCGCCAAGCGTGGCATCAGCCTGGCACAACCCCAAGCGTGTTTTGTGGAAGCCGGACGCTCATCGAACTTCTCCTTTGGTCGCGCGGGTGCTGCTTTCTTGGGCATCCCGTCCGATTCATCATCTTCAACAACATTGGAATGTATACGACTGAACCTCCCGTACTCCCGGAAACTGATGGACTGATCCCTCGCGTTCGCCCAGGTCAGTCCTTCGGGGCCTTCAGAGTCAGGCCACAGAAGCCGAATGGCAGGAAACAGTCGGTGCCCATGACTTCCTGAGAGCATCAAAAAACAACATCGGTCCATTCTGTATCGCCACACTAAGTCAGTCCTTTCTCGTTTTGGAGTATCCGGCATCTGCACGTTCTTTCGCCGTGAAGAACATCCGGTCATTGGAATGCTTCGAATGCCGGGACATAGCCTCAAAAAGTGGAAGACAACTTAAGTGCTTTGACAGGGCTTTCTTTGCGTCACGTCCATCCCAATTCAGCACAGCTGCGGGCTGCCACGGAAACCACTCAGGGCCTGCAGCCCCTCGAAGAGAGAAACTCCAGAACGGAGCTCTAAGAAGAGTCTATGAGGGTCATCATGAGCCAGTGACCAACGAGAGTGCGACCTGATGCGACCTGATGGTATGTGCCACAGACTGCCCAAAAATGCAAGCCTTTGATATCGTTTGATTTTCTGCCGGAGTGCCTGCATCATGAGTCTGACAGCAGCTGGAGGACCCACACGAGAGCCGAAGCTCTCGAAACAACGCTTTAAGCCGGGGTACTGCCAAAATCGGGAACGTCTAAGTCGACTATGTACAGCCTGGCCAAACTCTTGCCCATTCAAGAGTTGTCAGGCCAGCTGGGAAAATCATCAGGCTCGCCCACGTCTTTCGTGTGACACGAGAAAACTCTTTGAGCAAGGCCTATAGTGGTCTAGTGTAGGCAGTCCAGCCTGCCTTCATCTGGAAAACATCGATTGTCGGACGGCAAGCCACTCCATGCCATGTGAATCTATCTAACTCACCAACGGCTGTACTCAAGCAGAGGCTTCGAAAAGCACAGCTGATCAAAGCAAAAGTGGAATCCAGCCCGACTTGTTAAAGAGTCGCTTTAAACGCGGCCACGAGGCTCCTCTACAGCCTGGGCCGCAAGACTTTCTGAACGCCCTGCACCCTTTCGGCTGAGCTCCAACAGAGGGACCGGGAAACCAACAACACTCCGAATTGCTCGCCACAGACTGAAGTCCTTCCTGCCATCGGACATGTGACTACCCGGGTGATCATCTTCTGCCTGTTGCTCTCACCGTCATCATCGCCACCGTGACCATCATCAACATAATCATTACCATCATCATCATCATCGTCATCATCATTCTCCCGATCAACATCACCAAGAACATCGAAATCATCGTATCCTCCTCCTTATCATTATCATAGTCATAATTATCCACACGAGCAGCAACACCAGCGGCAGCGGCAGCAGCAGCGTCATCGTAATCAGGGTCAGCGTCACAACACTCTCCCAGAGGCTTACACTGCTTACATTGGGATGCAATCACGCCGCCGCTACGCCGTACTTTCGCCCGACACACATAATGCCTCCACACACCTCTGGCATCCCCCCTTGCGGCAGTGTCACTCCCGCCGACACACCGGCCAATTCGTCGTCACATCGCATCACGCCACCTCACATCATGCCCCTGTCACCTCTTCATTTTTTGCTGGATTGAACCAAGTGAGAACGTAATATCCGAGATGTTTCGGGAACAATGATGGAACTGAACCCAGCCGATGTGGCTGCAATCGAGAGTCAAGAGATTGGCACAATGCTTAAAATGCGCTACGCTGGAGGCTTCTGTTGCCTCCGCGAGCCTTTGCTTAAAGCCAAAATTTGCAAAGATCAGGGAAATCCTGGAGCTCCTGCAGCCATTCTGCAAGCGTGGTAGTACTTGCGTACAAGTGCAGTCCGCCCAGGGATTGCCTGGCCCACAGGCCCAAACGGCGAGCCTTTACAAGGACGCCACGTGATGAAATTACAGGCGGAATTGCCAATGAGATGAGGCTCACTGGGTTTGGTACTTGCCAAGAACCTGTTGCACTGCCAGGCATCGCCTGGCCATAAATCCGCGAAGTATGGCCCTGCATGTGGAAACAGGCCAAGCCAAGCAACTCTGGATAAGTTCCGAGGCGACCTGGCCAGGCCTGCACATCACAGCACTGCCGGTGCATGGCCCCTGGTCTCACAACACAAATGTTGGTCTGCTTTGCCAGGCCTTGACAGATTCATGTCGTTGGGCCCCACCTGAAGGTCGCCACTGCCAAGCTTGCGGGCGGAAGCCATGCAGCACCGCAAAAAATCGCACCTGCTGTGCAAGATGAGATCTGCACTCCTGGATTCCACCTGAAGAGTTTGCAACACGGCACCTTGTATCTGATGATGGGATAGGCGGATAGGCCCGGGGCTTGAAAAACTCGAGAGGTCGGGCTCTCCGCAGACAGGCAGCTGGAGTGCCTCGTGAAGTCTCGCCTTCAAAACTCGGCAGGAGAAACTGGCAAATGCTCCGCGAGACTGGCATGCGCTGGCTAAAAGTAGCCGAAGCATCCCCCTGGCCCCTCGCCCACATCACGCCTCCAACAGGATGCGCCTGGTGACCGGAGCTCTCTCCAAGCTCGAAATCCGGCACGAAGCGACGTCTGAGCCCGCAGCAAGTTTTCCTGCAGATCCACTGTCAGAGCACCACCGGCATGGCAAGCCTTCCAAAATCTCCCAAACACTGTCACACCCCAATCCGGCGAAGAATGTGCAAAGCAGTTCTCAAGGACTCTAAAAAGGCATTCAAGCTCCTTGGCCTACACAGCTGGGCCTTGGCTGACTCGAAAGTGGCAGTTGCCACAGCAGATTGCCGCTTCGCTCGAACCTGCCCAGCGACCGAGAATCTTGGATGTACCGGTTCATTGCACCGTGCCTCATTCAATGCATCCTCGAACTTGACCCGGTGGCCGTTCCGGAAAACAACTGGTCGATACTGATCGTTCCTGCCAAGGTGGCAATGCTTCTCCCGGGTCGTTGACTGCTGCTCGTGCACAATACACACACACACGAAACATGGAACGCCGTACACTGAGCATGGCTCTTCAGTTCCGCGTGTGAGTATCTTCACAGGAATGCCGATTCCTTCCCTCTACGCCGCCTTGAAAGAAGCACGACCCGGTGCTCGAAATGCTGCAGGTTGGCTTGGAGACCTCCGCTCGTCAAGAGCCGAGGAATGAGTTAAAACCTGACGACTGACGAATGCAGAGCATCTCCCCAAAGACTGAGACACCTTGTAGATGGGCGTTGGAAACCGCGGCCACCTGCGCAGCACTTTGCCAGACTTGCTCCAAAGCAACAAAGCACGATACGCCGCTACGCACGGGTGATTTTTCTTCAACCGGACAACCATGGCCAGAACGTGGCCGAACTGGCCTGCGGGGGGCTACAGCCAGGCTTCTGCGTGGACTTCTGTCAGTGGTTGAGCTTTCAGCGTCAGCAATCGGTCGCACATTGGCACTGCGTGGCCACACATTCCAAGCGGCTGTGGTTCACCATTCAACAAATTCGTGCAGCCAAATCATCCAGAGATGAAGGATGTGCAGCAGAACCGAGCGGCACCCTGCACGAAGCACGCAGGTAGATGTGGTGGGCTGTCGGCGCTGTGCTGGGTGGTAGACTGTGTAGCATCCACGTTGCATAGGCTTTTGACGAGCTTCAGAAAGCTGTCTCTTGGACAACAATTTAGAGTCAGATGGGCATACTGGCATCTAGTGGCAGTTCGCGTTTCCAGCAGCCCCAGCAGCCCAGCCTTGCGACTTCTGACCCTGTGGAACTGGCGACCGTGGAATTCGTTTCGGAAGTTCTCGGCCTGACAAGAAGCATTGAGGCATGTCCTTGGGCTGGTCACTGCTAGTCTTGCGGCCTCTTTTGGAGAGATGAAGTTCAAGAAGGCGTAAGCGACATTGCTTCGATTGTGCACGTCCTTGCGTGACAGCAGCATCACATTGATGGACTCTGCAAACGGGCCAGCAAACGCTGCAAGAAAGCAACACCAAGCCATCGGAGGATGCTGGGGGCCACGCCATTGGTAGATAGAAGAAGTCAAATGCACCGCGAAAACCACGTGCACAAATCTCCTGAACACCAATAGATTCAGTAGATCTCAACAGCAATTCTGAGCACGATTGAGGCCTGCATCAAGCTGTTCTGCGTGTACTTGTTGGGGATGTTTCTCAGCATCCTTTGTCATGGCTGGCTGTCCACAATTGGTGCTGGAAGCTACAATGGCCGGCGGGTGCCAGGCAATGTGGTGACCGGCTCGTCGGCGCGCGCAGCCTCAGAAATTTAGAGCCGGCTCAAAAAACAGACTGATGCGTTCTGCCGCCTCGAGGATTGAAGATCGCGGAACGATCTTCGAGTGGTAGGGCTTGAAGCCTAGGAAGACAACATGCGGATGAAGGAAATTATCCTGGAACCAAGCCGGCACAGCTCCACTGCAGAGGACAGCGATGACAAAGGTCGTGCTGCATTTTGGGGTCCGGCATTTTCTGCTTCGGTTCCCGTCCTCCATGTACCGCAACCAGGGCAGAGCTGAAAGGGTGCTAAGACGTCGCAGACCTCTACGGGCTCCTCGCCCATCCCTGGTACATCGGGGGATATCCCGGTGCCTCGAGACGAAGAGAACTTGCGAGGCATACTCGGTCTCCGAGTTTTCTGCTCAGAGCATCTCAGAGCTGAGAGTCTACTCTCGGGCGCGGGCACTCCGCGGAAAGTGAGGGGATTCCGTGGTCCCGAGAAGCCTTAGCCGGGCTTCGTGTCGACCCAACATGACGGCCGCGGCTCTGTGGTGCTAACAGACGGGTTGCAGGTCAACTTGACAAAGCACAAGGGGCCTGCAAGTAGTCGGAGACCATGGCATCACACGGCGGCAGAGAGACAACTGATTTCAACACCATCTATACACACGCATACACATACCTACATACCTACGTACGCACATAAATACATAAATACATAAATACATACATACATACATACATACATACCTACCTATCTACCTACCTACATACATACATACAGCTTTGGCGATGTTACTTCGATAGCTTTGCTATGCTTTCCTCATGCCATGAGCGTGTATGAGGCATGAGGCACGCACATCGCGGCATCATAACACCTATCTTCTATTCGGTACTGTGACTGTGCGAGCCGACAACATTATGTTGCTACTCCGGTCAACCGCTTCAAACAGCTTCGGGGTGGCGGTGTCCATGTGGTCACAAAGTCAGCACATCCCCTGTGCAGTTTGTCCCTCTATCTGTTGCCGAAGACGCATCATGTGTCATGCCAAGAGTTTTGTAGATGATTGTAGACGACTGCCGCAGGAGCCTGTATGTGCAGATCCCAGCTCGAAGGAAAAAAGGAAAGCTAGCAAAGCGAACCAAGCTTCTGACGTGCCTCGGCCCCTGCATTGGCCCTACATCGCATTGCTGCGTCTTGACAGGGACGAATGCAGTGCACTATTTTCTGTAGCTGACAACAGACAGAGTTTCTGAAGCGGCGCTTTCCCTGTGCACTCCACGCAGGCGCTTGCTGCGGCACTTGCTGCAGCGCTGCATGTGCTGCTCGGCCCGAAGCGCAGAGCTCTACAGTGACGTCTCAGAGCGCTGTCACAGTAGCACCAGTCGGTGTCAGTGCGTTTTCCAACTCGAAAACCGTAGGACCTCGCACTTCTGCTGGCGGCGCACGAAAGGCTGGCGAGGATTCTGGCTGTGCGGGCGATTGGATGCGCCTCTCTCGAGATCCGCAACGAAGGTCCTCAGGTGGATCCTCCTCCACGTCTAGCTCCACAATGCCAATGCTTCTCGGCTCATCGCGGCATCCGCACCGTGTGCAGAGCGGGAAACCCTTTTCCTGAGCATCGTGGGGACCCATAAACGCCCCGTACAAGAAAAAAAACACAGGACTTTGCCGACGAAAAGCTTGCGGGGCGATGCAACTACGGAGAACCGATCAAGCCACGCGTGGGGACAGCTAATTGGCCGAAAAGCGGGCTCGCTGCGCACCTGGCTCATGCCCATCGCTCGGCGATACCGTGCTCCATCTGTTCCGACTAGTGACTAGACTCCCAGTCTGAGCTATGTCTTGCTGTTGCTGGACTCTGCCTCCACTGCACTGACTGGGCCCCGTAGGCATTCATGGCTCCTAGCTCGCAGCGCGTCGCTCGAGATTGCTCTTTCCATGGCGCTTCACAGGGCCGACTCCTGAAGCCGCAGGTGTCACAGGCATTAGAGAGCGACAGAGCCCTGAGCCCTGAAGAGTCGCACGCGCTTTCTTGCACTGGCCCGGTCAGTTGACTCTGGCAATGTCAAGCCTGGCCATGTAAGGCGGTCAGGACGTGTCAGGACTCCGAGCGTCGAACAGTTGAGGCTCGCGCAGAACCGGATCCCATTCGCCGCGGCACCATTAGTGACATCAGCCTGAGGACGCCTCCACTCCATGCTGCAAAAGGTGTCCACAATGTTTCGAAATTCCGACTTCGAAGGTGATGCGTTAATGTGACCCTGTGCCTGCTCGAACTTGCTCCTCCTCGTCGCCCGAGATGCTCAGTTGAATCCACCTCAAGGGCGGAAACATGCTATACACAGCAGAAAGAAAAATCGATCCGGGACGAACTTCTAGACTGGGCAACTCCATCGCTGCAAAGGGATCTTAAAGAAACCGCTGGGCATTGGTCTCACACTAAGGCCGGAAGAAAAAATAAACTACATGTCCCAACACCGGAAAACTCAAAGAAGTCTGACCCTTTGCCACGGCACCGGCTAACCCAACAGGCCTGGCCTTGCATGGGCCTCCGCACCCGGCTCTTCCACGTCCACGCAGAGGCCGCTCGCGCCCAGTGCTTCTAACCTGTGCATGGTCCACACGCTGTCGGCTCCAAGGAAGGTGGCAGGGGAACCGCATCTTGGCCATTCTCAGGAAGGTACCATCCTTTCTCTTGCAGCTCTACAAAAAGGTCTCTTGGTACAGGAAGTGTTTGCCTGGGCACTGCAATCAAAGCGGAGGGAAGATGCATGGAGGGATGTCAGGATATGTCTGTCTCAGTGCGAGGCGAAGGTGCCCTACTTCTGCGTGTTGCAAGCTCCTCTCATGGCACTGTCACTGTGTCGGGAACAACACGAAGCACTGCTTGGAGATGGCCCATGGCCTCTTTCTTGCGGTCTGAAACCTCTTTGGCCCGCTCAAGCATCTCAATAGCCTGTTCTCGAAATCTTGACTGTGACACCCTGACACCAATTCAGGCAACACAAAGCAGCACAGCATGGTGGCCTTCATTCTATTGCCCTCATTGCGCCGCTTGGAGGTCTTCGGCGACACACCAGCGAAGGGTATGGCATTTGATCCATATCCTTTCAAAGATCCATCAGAACCAGAACGCATGGCCAAAATCATGTGGCAGCGCCTTCACCCGGGGTATACGCACGGATGCCTTCGGGCATAGGGGGCTCGACCTTTCGTCTCAGCTCAAGCAGCGAAACAATGTTGATCAAACTTGGCTTCCGACCAGGTGTGCATTCCTCACTTTGCCCTGCTTCACCAGCGTCTGTGCCTGTCAAGGGATGTCGGTACAGACAACCAAAAACCTTCCTCGCTCGGAAGCCTCGGACGGGGACCGAGCGAGTTCGGCCGTTCTCTCTCCGTCTTCCAAGTACTCCAAGGACTCCTCGGAGAGCTCCTCCGAGAGCTCAGCCTCCTCCGTCAGTGTGACGGGTGTGCCGTCGCCTGGTGGACCGCCAACTCCGAAAGCCGAGATCAGGGATTTCAGGCCGCCCGAGCCTGCTCGCCGCTGGGTCCGCCGATGGCTTCTCCGCCACTGCACTGCCTGCTCCACACAAGCCACGCTTTCTCCTATCGAGTCTACGTGTGCATCGGGCACCACAAGGCTGGCAACGCTCAGCGCAGGCTGCGGCCGCGTCCTGAACATCTCCACAAGCGCAGAAGCAATCCGGCTCGGTGCAAATGAGCACAAGGCCTGGACCATTCCCGTTTCGACCAGTCAGCCTTTCTCACGGCACGAAGACTTTAGACTCCATTCCATCCCCTCCTGACTGAGCAGAGAGTGCCTGCCAGCTTGGCAAGATGGTGCTGGTGCTTGGCGGGCACGGGCGTCCTGGCAACTAAACAAGCCATGAAAGCGATCATTCTGGATCGGAGCCCAGGAGAATCCTGAGGGCCTGCGGGAAGAGGCAGCACCGTGCAAGCCGGGCCAGCCGCGGCGGTCGCGCCATCCCATTCCATGCTGCCTTCTGCTTCTACTATAGGGCCTGGTCTTGCAGAGTCTCTCGCCAATTTTACGGAATCCCGCTTATTGAAACCTGTGACAAGTATCGCTCTGGTGAGAGGCGGCCGAGCAGGAGACTTCTGGTAAAGATGCCTGGTGCGCTGGCAGTCGTTGCATCGTTCCCTTTTCTGCTCATCAGTCCAGGAGCTGCGCAAAGAAGTAGGGGCCCACCGCAACGACTAGCACGAGCAGGAAAAGCAGAATGACCTCAGCAAGCCGAAGCTGCAAGCGGCGAGCGGCAAAGGATAAATCTTGGATCCAAACCTGCGACTTTTGCTCTCCTGCCTCCTTCAATTCCTCTTTCTCTTTCGGGTCTTTAGCAGTCCGGCTGTGTTGCTCAGATCCTTTGCGTATCTGCTTGGCACGTGCTTTCGATGCACCTGCACTTGCCATCTCGGAGCTGCCCTTCTGAGCCGTACTCACTTCTTCCTCCGTTGTTTTGGCCTGCAGCTGAGGCGCAAAGTTCCACTTCCGAGCACCACATTGTTGCGTTGCTTAATTGTTGTAGGAGGCCTCCAGCTGTTGAGACAGTTCTTGCTGAAGCTTCGCCACCTGCATCAGCATGCTGATGTCATACAACATCTCCGAAAGGCATCACGCATTGACGACCTAGTCACCATCAGAAGCGCGACAAAAAAGAAGTTCAGAATTACAGAGCAAGCTAGTCTTCCGGCCTCCGGGTTGACATTTGCATAAGTTTCACGGACAGCTTGGAGATGTGCGTCGAAGCTAGACGGCGTGCAACAATACTGGAAGTTGGAGGTGCCAAGGCACGTGCCCTTCACTAGAGAACCGGCGCGATGGCGCTGGGTTAGGGCCTCAGCCTGGAGCGGTCTGGGGCCTGAGGCGTTCTGTTGCGGCCGGGCCTCTGACTTTGTCTGAACGCGTCGTGCTTCAAGCTTCTTCAGACGGGCCTGACCGAGCAGGAGCAGACTGTGGGGTCGCCGAGCCGAGCACCATCGCAGGTCGAAGCCTCGGCCCTGGTAAGCCGTTGCTGGTGCTCCGCCGCGATGCCTTTCAGACCTCAATGCCCGCATAGGCGCCGCAGGGGTGACTACACGGTCCTTCCGCACGAACTCCTAGTGGATTTCAGGTTTCATACGGGAATCTCTCGGACTCTAGGAGACTAGGAGTTGAGGGTCGGTTTCAGCCTTTCAGGGGTTGAAGGTTGGTTTCGGGCTTTCATTTTAGGGTTTCGGGGTCCTGCCACGTGATTGGGGATTCTTTTGCCAGCCCGGCTGGCGTTCAAAGTCCAGTCTGTGGCACAAGAAGGATCAGAAGAGTTTATCCGTATGCGAGAACTCTGAGCAGTCAATACCCTAAAATACCCGAATCGCGAAACCGCCAAATCCGCAATGCAACATAGTTAAAAGCTTCAAGCAGTTACAACCAAAGCCATGGAAGCCTTAAACGTACAGGAAATCAAACTCTGGGACACCTCTAAACCCTGCACGGCCTACACCTCAGTCAAGAACCCTGACAATCCTCCACCCCATGCGCTCAGAAGCCTGAAGGGGCTGAACCTGAAATGATGCGCACTGTCGAGCAAACTGGCGGGTGCGCTTTCGAACAAACACATGCACCCACCCCAGTGGCTACATGCTCTATACATGCTCGTGCAACTTGACGTCCCAAGATGCGCTTACAACAACTTCCGGGCACAAGAGAGAATAGTGATGAACGCGGTCTGCCAAGCGAATCACGCTTGAGCCGCACGCGCACATTCGCTTTGTCCAGAACATCCACTTGGTCAGCTGCAAGGGCCTGCTACGTTGGCATCATGTATACAAAAGCGACGACTCGCAATGCACCTGGTGCCGTTCAAGTGTCTCAAGCTCTTCATGCCACTCTTTAGCGTGGGCTCTGTGTAAATCTGCATTCCTGCATCAGCGTTTAGACAAGCCGGCATGTTGCTGCAAACAAAGACCTGTGGTCAAACGAGAGCCTTGCAAACTCTTCCAGCTTGCTGCGCAACTCCAGTTGCTGGTTCAGCAAAACCTCCAAGCTGCATATACACGCGTGAATCTACGGCGCTACGGAGATCCACTCAGTCACTAGCCCATGTGACATCTGGCTAGCACGAAGCCAAGCCCGAAGCCAGAATTCAGTCGTCAAGGCGGAATCAGGACACGAAGCATCGTTAATATGTTTGATCGACGTCTGTGGATGGTCACCCTGCTACTGGTACAAAATGGCTTGCCAATGCTGGGAAAAGCAGAAAGCTCGAACGAGCTAAATGCAATGACTCGCACACGCCGTTATGTGCAATAAGTTCGCTTCTGGGGCATCGCTTCGCTAACCCTGAACAGCCCACTGTTGGCGATAATGCATGCTGCAGGCAGCTAGTGTCGCGTCGACGTAAGCGCGTTTGGGAACATAGGACCCTGCAGCGGGAAAGCGTCTCCTTGAGTCAAAGCATCGCCCATTTTTGCAAACCAATCATTCTCGGCAGAATCAGAGCGCGCGGAGTTGGATTTGATGTGTCCACTTCAGCACAGGAATCGATCGACTCGTTCGGCAGGCGCTGCGGAACTGGAAAAGCAAGCAGCGCACCAGAAACAGCTGATTCGCGCACTGGCCGAACCCCGGATTTATGCACGCAGGATTCGTCCACTTTATAGCATGCAGGATTCGTGCACCGAAAGAGCCGCATTCGAGCACCGTGGATTCGTGCAACGGCCGTAGATTTCAACCGCGCGGTTTTGCATGCCAACACGATACTCGCCCCGGTGATTCGCACGAGGATGACGGGATTCGGTTCTGGACTGCAAAGCTTCGGGTTTTCGCTTCACCCTCAATCCTATAAACTTTAAAAATCCATAACTTGCGACCCTAAACCATCGAAAAATAAATCGAAGAAGCTGGAGCACCCGATGGTGTCTGCTCTCTTGACCTATGGGAAAGAAAAAGAGTCACCCGCTTATGTACATGCACTCATACGACGCTTTTGTCTGCCGCTGCCGCTCTCGATGGCTGAAAGAGATCTGAGCTCAAGGGATCCGCTGTGGCTTGGAAGTGATTGATTCACCGAACTGCAAGCAAGCTAAAATTGAACGTTCACAGAATGTACCCCAAATCCGGAATCCCTAAACCTGCAATCCCAAATCGAAAAAACAGAGCCCTGAATTTCCCAAACCCTCAACCCCTAAATATGCTGAACCAAGTGCTACAGCAGCTAGTAAAGTCCGGGGGCTCCGATCTTCTTTGCTTCGGTGTCTATACCCCGAAGCTGAACCTCCAAGACTCAAAGTCCTGAAGTTGGAAGCCTCAAACCCAGACCCTACCCTAAATTCCAATTCGCAAATCTGTGGGTTTATGGTGCTCGAGTAGCGGCGCTGCTTGACGAGAGCTCGAGACACTGCTTGAACCGATGGTGTGCTGGAATCACCTGTGCTCCCGATCCTGTGTGAATGCAGGTGCTGCAATCGCGGGGCCGATGCTTTTAGGTCATGAAGGGTGCACTCACAACAGCGTTTGGCGTTTAGCGACGTTCAGCATCGCGACTGCCAGATGCTGTAAACACGTCTTCAGTCACTCCGGCCGATGCGTCGCGAAGACATGTGCGGATCGATCAGCGCGAGTAGCCGAAAGAGAGACGATTGTTTACGGCTGCCAGTAAAAGTGTTCCAGTGCTTTGGGCGGCTGCAGACTCTCTCCATCGTAGGCACGCAGGTCACGGATGCCGTGACTCGTGGCTGTGGTCACGCGCAGTTCCCCCGCCCCCCCCGCTTAGCTTTCGAAATGGCCTCGCGCTGTTGTCCCCCACGCCAGGTCTCGGACTCAGCCTCAAATGACAGCACAACGGCATACAGTTTCCGCAAAAACTTGAAAACCGCGCCTGAGTCTTGAGCCGGGCTTCTTCTGCACGAAAGGCCGTCGTATCTCTGTAGAGCCTGCGCTGTCGGCGCAGTACTCAGAGCACGTCACGCGGCCCCTCTTCATGCCTTTGTAGCGTCACAATCTAGTGACATGTTGCTAAAGGTGGCGATTCGAAGGTGGCACAGGTAGAGAGTGTGGTTGTTCGAAAAAAGGAAGGGAATATCGACCCCCACCCGGCAAGGTATGATGAGGCGGAGGGGAGGGTGAAACAACGAGGGGGAGGGGGGGTGGGGTTGTTGTTCGAGAAACAGAAAAGGAAAAACAACAGTTTCGGGGAGGTTGTTGTTCGAAGAAACAGGAAGGGAATACTCTACTACTGTTTCTACTACTGTTACTAAAACTACTACTACGACGGCTGCGCCCCCCCCAACCCCTCGCTTTCTTAGAGTAAACTCCCCGCTGTCTTAAGCGCGTTCGCCAGCACACGAGAAGGAGAGAGCCATATGCAAACGCTTTAGGGGGATTAAAAGCGAAGAAAGTACAAATGATCATGAATGATTTGGAAAGTTTGCAAATGGGGGACGCTGCGCCTGCACCCCCCCGCTTTTCTTAAACTAAACTTTCCGCTGTCTTAAGCGTGTTCGCCAACACACAAGAAGGAGAGAGCCACATGCAAACGCCTGAGGGGGGTTTAAAAAACGAAGAAAATACAATTGATCATGAATTTCTCCAAAAGGGGAACAACAAAGGGGGCCGGGCTTATTGTTCGTTCAACATGGGAACAACAAGGGGCGGGGTGGGGGGGGGTGGTGGGGGGGGTGGGGGGGGTGGGGGGGGCGTGGGGGGTGGGGGTGGGTGGGGGTGGGGGGGGTGGGGGTGGGGGGGGGTTGTTGTTCCCCAAATCCATGAACAACAACCCCCCTCACCCCTCTATCGAAGCGGTCTGCACAGGTAGCCACTGCAGTGACTGTCGGAAACTGCTTCATACAGGTTTCATCAAGGTCCTTGCAAGATCTTCCTTCAATCTTGCCACAGCAGCAGCACGCCTGGGCATCGACACGTTTCGGGCACGCCAACACATGCACGCCAACACACAAACGCACACACACACACATATATATATACACACACATACATGCACACACTTTGGCTCGGTACCGACAGGACCAGACGAGGCGAAGACAGGTTGCAACAGGTCGTCGTCATGGGATGGGTTTCTGGCCCAGCCCGGGATAGGTTTTGGTCCCTCACTCCCGACCTAAGGAACGGAATGTGTTGAGGGATTAGGGTCCCGTCACTGTCCCGTCCCTCTGCATTCTCGTCGTGCCAGACACAAGGAATGGAATATGCTGCTGTCTGCGAAGTACAAATCAATGCTGACAGCAGCATGTAACACGTTACAAAGATATGGGTTCTGTCCCCGTTGTGGATACCAAGTGGGGACTCAGCCACCCAGGCACTCCTCTTAGCAGGTCCGTTTACACATCTGCTACTCGTGGTCTTCGTTGGTCCCTGCATGAGGAACAGACGTGGGACCCCCTGCACATGCTAAGAAGAACATCTCACTCGGACGCCATGTTCAGGTGTTTACACACACACACACATGCCCGGAACAACACGTGCTGCAGCTGAATGCTTGACTGGCCCAAGAAGAAACCGACGCAATTGTGAAAGGCATCAGAAAGCATCGGCAAATGAACATGAAACCTGTGATGATGACTCGACCTCTGACATTGCTTTTGGCAACGTTTGAGTTGTTCATCCACAACTGTGGGCTCGAGCTTTCGCTCGCTGTGATCTGGCCCCAACTTCGGGAATTCCAGAACCACTTTGGCTCGGCACGAACTGATGCAAAATGTGACTGCTCTGAGTCGAAACACATGAAGGCTAACTGGGTTCATCATGATGGTTCGCAGGTCAACGTCGCAGCCCCATCATGATGCCTCCTTGGTTGGGGTTCACCATGACGTTTAGGTCAAAGCCGCAGCCACGACATGGCGCCCCTGAAAAATGCCTCGTCCGGGGTACGGGTCCTGCCCCATTGAAGCTTGGGTCCTGGCCTCATGTACTGTGGTCAGAGGTAAGGGTCCTGCCCCTTTGTTGTTAAGGCTTGGGTATGGGTCCTGCTCCATTGCGGCTTCGATCCTGGCCTCACGCACTGTCGTCAGGGTATACGGTTCCTGCCCCTTTTGTTTAAGGCTTGGGTCCTGGCCTTATATGCGTTGTTGTCACGAGGGAGCGATCACTCAAGTAACATTCAGGAAGACGCACTCAAGTTTAAAAGAATCGAGGTGCAATCAAGTTGAAAGGAATTAAGTCGCATGCAAGTTGAAACGAAGCAAGTCGAAACGAATCAACTTTGTCAGGAAGGCATCAAGTATGGAATCAGAGGCGGTCATTCAATGTCCCGATCTGAGTGTATCAAGCGTCTACGCCCGGCTCTTTGACAGAATGCCGGTCGAAAAACACACTTGGAAACTCCGGTGAAGGAGTGGCTAGCGGTGATTTACAAATCTACAGCAGATACGTTTTCACCCCTCCCTAGGGGTGTCTTCGTTGGCCAGTGACCCCAGGGAGAGCACTGGCCCCCTGCTTTTTCACAACATGTAAAAATTGACTCTTTGCTATCAGAGGTTCTCACACACACAGGCACACATACGCACACACACACACATATATATATATATATATACACACACACACCCTCCAGGCTTAATGCCTGAATCCCGGGTGCCTGGCTCTGCTGTCCGCACCCTGGCACGTTCAATTCGGAGTGCCTCAGTACAACAGTCCCACAACTTTCGGTAAGTGGGGGTTTGTGCAAGCCGCCTGTCTAAGCTGTGCTCGCAAGATGCACCACGATCAGCTGTGTCATGCCCTCTGTTGACTCCTCGGTCAGCGGCCCGAGTCCAATGATAAGCATTTGTTTAGTCAAAACAATCTTTCTTCGCTTCTGCACGTGAGCGTTGCTGCGCCGGCCTGCATGTGACGATCGCGACCGCGACAGTGGCGGAAAGTTATGCGCAAAGGCTTCCGGCATTTTAGACTCGCTGGAGCCCTGCAGATGCCTCGGCAACATACATCTCTGCGAAACTAGCTACACGCTACTTGTATTGGGGCACCGGCAGCAGATCAGCTTGCACACGTCCACACGGACATCTGTCGAACAGCGTAAGGCGTGAGATTTCAGAAAGCATCAACACGGCGTGGTAGAAACCGTTCACTAAGAAGTTTTGACACGCTGCCGCGTTTGGAGAAAGACAGGCGGGCAGAGCATGACGAAGTCAAGGGCTTCTGTTTGACTAGGTCTTGGAAAAAGCTTAGGATTTCGTTGAAGGCACAAACCTTAACAGCAATCCCACACAGCCGCTGGTGAGATGGCCTCCTTTCTGAGGCAACGGTCCAAGATTGCCATTGCTCACATGCGACTCAAGGACTCAGTCTTGTATCTGTGCATGACAGGCACTTTGTGGCAAAGCCCGACCATTTCGTCAAAAATAGGGCAACTCACTCACGAATTGCCAAGCGATGTCTGCCTGGGCGCTAAGGCTTCGGGCATGGCGACGCCATGCTCGCATGTGCACACTGTGCACTAGATGAATCTTCAATTCTGAGCCATACAGCTGTAGTTCGACGAGGGAAATGAAGTGATATTAAGAACCTTAAGAACCTAAGCCAATCGAATCACTAAATCTTCGCCTTCCATGCGTTGGTCACGAATAACTCTGAGCCGTTTGAGGGGGCCACAATCGCAAGAACTACCAAGCAAAGGATCTGATTTGGAGGCCGGAGCGCTTCATACTTTTCCCTCTTCTCCCACTGCTCCTTGTGAGCAGCTAGTGATCTTGCGGCGCAGATTCCGCAAGCACTGCACCCTGCGCAGGCACGTCTCCCGCGCATGAGGCGGCTGTGCGGCTCTCTTTCGAGGAGCTCTTGGAAGAGGTCGCAGTCTGTGCTACTTGTACCGCCGTTCAGGCCTCTGGGCTTCTGGAGGCTTTCCACTGGCTGGAGTCTTCGAACTGCAGCAGTCGACTCATGGCGAATATCTCGGCTTAGTGCTCAGGATCGGCATCCAGGCCGAGGCCAGAGGCCATTCCAGCGAAGAATACACATAGAATGCCTCAAACTGCAGGACAGCCAGAACTTCTCGGCGTCCAATCCCGAGGCCAGCATCTGCTCAGGACACTGGGATCCACCAGCCTCCTCTGCGCTCGTCGCGTAGCCTTGCCCTTGACGGGCGCTTTCCGGAAAGGACAGCAACTTGACAGCAACACTCCTTGGACAGATGTAACACAGTCGCCCAAGCGGCCCACATGGAGAGGAAGCCGGCTAGCTCGCTAAGGCATCCCACGGGGCCCAGGACCCCTTCAAAGTCTCGAGAGCAAAGCGACGGAGCTGGGGCACTGACAACATGCTGTCTAGGATGCAAAGTTGGCACGTTAGACACTAGCCAGCACAGAGTAGCATCTTCTTTTGGATACTCTGCCAACCATCGGAAGCTTCAGGGAAATGCGACGCAGCTAGTCAGCGTCAACTTCACTTCTTGCTGCAAGTTACGTAGGGGTTGGTTATCCGAAGATTGTCTGCTATCTGTCTGCAATAACTGTCTGTGCAGGTCATCTGGGATCAGTTTCGGCACAATCACCTTGCTGAAGTGAGGCATCATGTCTCGTTGAATCTGGACCTAGATCTCCAAGTTCCCGGCCGGTCAGAGCTTCATCCAGAGAACCGACCGTCGCTTCTCCTGTTCGGAGTTTTTGGGGCTGGGGTTGTCCGTCACAAGCCGCCCTTAACTGTGCCATCCTGCTGGAAGAACTCGATCTTAAACTTGTCCCCGGGTGCTCCGCGGATGACCCACGACTTCTCCTGTTATCCAATGGAAAGCGTCGCGGGGCTCAAGAAGGAAGCTCTCCGTTGAGCATTGGCGTGCAGATGCGTGCAGCATATAGTAGCTTGAAATCTTGGAGCCCCCGCCCCACAATACCAAAGACTAGTTGAGCCTTCAGGTGCCTGTGGTCTGTGGCCAGTCAGTCCCAAATCTCGACAAAACCTGCACTACTTATCAACTTTAACCTTGAACCTGCAACGGTGTACAACGCCGCGAATTCAAGCCATTTTGAGAAGCTGCGCATCTTTGTCTAGTCCTTGGCAGCTGTCTTGGGCCCCTGGACTTGTGAGACCTTCATTGCGGAGTTCGAACAATCGCATGGGGTGGCAAAGCAGGATTCCAATCGGCCTTGGAGGTGCAGTTCGGGCGGTCTGGACAGTAGACCTCAAGACGCCGAAAGATTCGGATCGTGGTGTCACATTCCGCTTCACCTCCGCCAAGGCCGTGACTTTTTCGTCGTCGTTGTCTGCGATGATCTGAAAATGCTCCTCATTGCATCCCCACTGTCATGTCTCACTGTTCTTGCGGACGGAACTCCGAATCCGAGCTCTGCGATTCCATCAAAGGGCACATGTTGTTGCAGATCACAAAATGCTCTGCTGAGGAGACAAGCGCAAGCGCGTTGCTGCTGTGGAGGCGGCAACGATGTGTCCGTGCAGTTTGCGCCAAAGCATGGCTGCTCACAAAGGACTCAAGCAGCGGGATGGAAAGCTGGTGTCGCGAGTCGCGAGTATTTGTATCGAGTGAAAATCGTCACCTGCGAGGTTCTTGCATCTTGCAAAGCGTGCTTCAGGCTGACAGACAGCCACTCAAAGGGATCCACGGGCACACTGTAATCGACTCTAGTCTATAAGGGATTAATCGACCTTCATCCTACCTTTTGAGGTCCACGGGAATGAATGCTTGGCAGCGACGCTCTGTGCACAGGGCGGGCACTTGACCTCATTCTGTTATCCTCCGATTTAGCAGATGGCTCGCCCAAGAGCGTCCGAGCTACGTCCTGTGAGTGTCTCTGAAACGGTGCAAACATCCTCCACCGCGCACCAACCAGTCCGAAAACTTGCTTGGCTAAGGGCAGTTAGGAACCGTCTGAGTCATACGCCGACCCAGTGCTGCCAACTGTGATCTCACCGACCCAGAGGCCCAATATGGAGTCCGACCTCTTGACGAAACTTCTCTTGAACAGCGGTTCACGAAATGCCGGGCCTGTCCATTGCTTCAGCTTCCCAGTTGTTGAACCTTGCGATTGAGCTCTCTGGCAACGCGGCCGCTGCAAGTGAGGCTGAGAAGCACACGTGCCCTGCAGGGAGAAGTCATCGCCCCAGTCGACAAGTTCCTGTTGAGTTCAGCAAGTCTGAAGCTGTGTATGGCAGTAGAAAGTGCGCCTCATCTACCTTTTCCCAGGTCGCAACACCATCCTCACGCTGTCTCGACGGACTCAACATGCAGCAGCCCCGGTTGTGGAAACAGCGCCGTCCTCGTCGAGCTCAATCATGTACCTGTCGCCGATCTGCCCTGCTGGATCAAGCCTTCGAGCAAGCTCCACGTGCAAAATCGGCGCTGGGCCGCACACTCCCCCGAGGTCCGCACCCTGTGGTCTCCCAGTCTCTCACGTCATCGCCATTCATGGTGATTTCGGCCGGTGGCGCCTGATTACACAATTTTCGCAGAACATATCACGGGGAGTGCTTCACAACTTACGAGATGAATTAACCGAGGAAGCCCGACTGGGTCATCCGATCAATCACATGAGTCTACGGTCTACAGCTTCGCAAACATGCCGTCCTGCCAGCAGATTGTACTTTTCGCGCACTCATTCCCGGCTATTTTCTGGAGGTTCCTCCGAAACGCCGGCCTTCGCCAATTTCCTCTCGAAGAGCTTGACCGGATCAGAGACCATGCATCCGCGCGAGTTCATGATGTTCTTGCCCCAGGCCTGCGTGCAAGAGTTACGAGTAATTTTTCCGGCATGTGCAGTCCATGCCCACGGCCTCCGCATGCGCGTTTGTGCCACCTGGCGTGAACACGGAAACGGTCACAGCATGTAGATTCAACGGAAGGTGCCCCACGCCCCTCCGCCCTCCACATTCCGTCTTTATTGTTTGTAACTCGCGAGCACCTCTTTCAACACTGGGTTGATAGCATGCGCAGCCCAACATGCCCGCAATCAATCGACCTTCAAGCTTCCGGCTCCCCTGGCAGTCCATTCACTGATTCATCCACTACAAATGTTTGTGGACTTCAAGATGTTGCTGTACACTGTACGAGCTTTGCTTGTCTTGTCAAGGTAAAAATGGATCGTCCACAAGTTCCGAAAAGTAGGTGTTGATCGTGTTCGGCTTCGTCATCGAGTTCTCCAAACGTTGCCTTTCGTGGGTGGCATCATGTCGAAGATGTTCAGCATTCTCTGTGGAGACCTTTACTATTTACTTTAAACGCACTTCAAAAGCTACAGACCCATGATTCAGGGAAAGACGTAGACGAGGGAGTTCGGGAATACTGTCAAACATGTCTGCCACCAAAACCGAAGGAGGAGACGCCAGAATAGGCTGCATCCTGCAAACCGATGCTGGCAAAAGGCGCAATGCTGCAACACTACGCAGTGGAAACAGCCCCGTCCTCGCGCATCGCGACGGATTCAGAAAGAATTTGGCACGGGAAACCCTTAGTTCCAAGGAATCTTCATGGATCGATGCGATCAAAACTCCGGCCGCCTCCATGTCCAAGTGGGGATTTCGTACCTTTCACGAAGGCTTGACGATATAAGTGCAAGCAAAAAGCGATGCCATTTCTCTTCTCCGGCCTTGAGGTGCACGTTTGCTGAGCCCTCACAGTTGGAAACCTTGCAAGGCATGTCACAAACGGCCAAGCGGTTCCGAGTCTGGCATCCGGCATCGGGTCCGGCAATGGGCCGCTCGTGCCTGCAGACAGCACTTGAAGAAGCCCGCCAAGCCCGCGCCTGGCGAGAAATTGGCACGAACCGGAGGCTTTTGCAGACAATGCTAGTTCTGCTAGTTGCTGCTAGTTTACCAAAGCGGCACTGCTCCAGTTGCATCTGAGTCACCGCCCTCGCCGTGCGCGATGTTGGACTTGGACGACCTTGCGAGCCCGGTTTCGGTCTCGGATTCTCGCATCGCCGGCAGCAGAGCATTAAATGCAAAATGCCGTACAACCGTACAGGTCAGGCAACGTGATCACCAGCGGCTCTTTGCGCGGAGTTGCACTCATGACCTTGCTCCGTCAACGATGAAGTGCGTGCGAAAGGCTGTCTCTGCCGGCCTTTCGGAAAGAGCCGACTTCAATCGGATCGCCCAATGCCCTGGATAAAAAGAGTCAAGTGTGGACTGATATCTTGCATTTGCTGGAGCATTCTGCAGTATTGTAAGATTGTAAGGTCATCACGTGCCAGTCCCGTGGCACTCGATGCAATCAACTTCGGTAGGTGTCAGCTTGCACTCCCGCAGAACGGCTTTGATGCATTTCTCCTGCAGGTTGCTGAGTGGAACCATCCTATGATGTTCTACGGCTCTGTAGCCCTATGCAGCCCCATGATCTAAGGCCCTAGGCCCCCATAGCCCCACAGCCCCATCATGGCCGCGCCAGTGACCTGGTCACACCTTGGGGCCTCGGGAACATGCGATCCGTCCTGAGCCGGCCCGTTCGGAGCAGTCAAGCTCGCGCTTCGACCGTCCTGCCAAGTACAGGACGGCGCAGGAGAACCCACAAAAAAACTGCGAAAGGCTGTCCGACTCCTGGTTTGACTGGCTGCCTGCCAAACAGCAGATGGACCCGCTGGACGGATCGAACTGCTTCAATTTGAAGCACAGAGCACCACACCTTGAAGTTCGGCACACACACAGCTGAAAGAGTGACTGCTGGAGTTTGCAAAAGGTTTCAGCCAGCGACAGCATCGCACGTTTCAAGCTGAGGGCGTCGCAGCTCACCTCTGGCATATCCATCGGCCGTGGAGTTGAACGTGAAACACCTGTCGAACATGACAGGCGAGGTGCCGAGCCGTGGCGACAGCCGCACATGCCAGGATATACCAGCCTGCCATCATGACTCAGCATGCCGGCCGCGCAGCAGCCAACAAATGGCCCGGGAAACAGCATCAAGTTCAGACCTGTCATGGGGGATGTATCCACCAGCCACTGCGTGCTGTGAACTGACTTCCACCAAATGCACTCAGCGCGCCACCGTTCACAATGCTGGCTGGCATGGGTTCGTAATCCTTGAAACGCAAGTGCAGCTTGGAGACGTGGGTGCACACCTCGGATCACCAGTTTCCTCCTTCCAACAGCAGCGTGCGCCCTTCCGAAGAAACTAAGACTCGGACAAGCGAAGACGAACACGCCGTGTCGATGGTCATGCTTGCACCCTCAGCTTCTGAACAAATAAGCACCAGTGAGAACCGCAACTTTGTCGATCCCTGTCGCACCTTCAGGTTCATGGAGTAAGAGAAGCGATTGGATGTGATGGCGTTGGCCGCAGCAGCTGCGCCATGAGCGCCGCCTCCGCAGTCGAGCATTCCCGCAGCACCCATGCCTCAGGATCGGGATTCACGGATCATGTGTGGCGACGTGACACACACACACGCACGCGCACGGATTCACATTTCCAAGTCCAAGCTGGGAGGCACATCCAATCATCCTTGTCGATGCCAACAAAGTGCCCGATGTGCTGAGCCTCTCGTTGCAAACTCCTGCCAGCCACATTGATATCAACTACGACAACAGCATTGCATCAGCACAAAGAACATTCTGCACCAGCTTTGCGCGCCTCTTGTCGTAGCCACCCTCAAGGAGTGCCATGTAGGACACTTCCATCACCTTGGACGAATCACACATCGCCGAACTTTCTTGTCCAGTATCGATTGCCTGGCCTGGCGCTGGCAAGGGTCCATGCCCTTGGCCTCCATTGGTGAAATCTCGAAGAACTTGCAGTCAAAGAGATCAACTCCCTCGATGCCAAAGCATCCGTGTCGGGTGTAGGAGCCTCCGAACTGCTGGTCGGGATCAAAATATGGTCCATGATCCCAACGAGTAACGGGCACTTCGGTAAGACCATCGCAAGATGCTTTGGCTGCTCCCTGCCAGAACTGGTGACGCCCATCGGCCTGCATGCCGTATCGGCAATACATCGACTCTATGGTGCAGTGCTCGCCGGGTGGTGGAGGAGGACCCGTTGATTGCCCTGTCAAGTTCTCGACGTTGCCTTGAACCTCATCCTCCAAACAATAAATGGCTGGCTCCGCGAGCATGAAGGTCTGCAGTGCCAAAGCTTTCCCAGAAGGACTGTAGCTATACTCATACCGACTGTTGAGCATCACTAGCATGGTGTGTGGGTCAGCTGCAAGGTCAATTTCTTGATCACCTTCCTTCATTGGAAGGAGCTTCAACGATCCACCGGCCGGTCCGACAAATTGAAGAACCGTGAGCCTCCGCCGGTACATGAGATGCATAAAGCCTTCAGCATCACCATCGTCAATGTCAGCAGGCGGGTACTTGTCTTCCTCGCCGTCGGCAAGTGGCATTCGAAGTAGCATCTCAGTCCTGCTGTAGATCTCAAATCCAAGGTTCTCCTCCGAATACTTGGACAGCATTGAGCAAAGCTGGCCGAAGTTGTTGTCCATAGTTTTCAGCGGCGACCGCTTGATAAAGTCTGGCGTGTCCGAAGCGTCCAGACCCACATGAACTGTCTTAGCATTGCCCTCATCTCCCAAGTAGCCTCTCTCGAACTCAATTGCAAGGCGGCTGAATTGTTCATTGTCATCGAGTTGCTGAGCCACGGAGACCATTTCTGCAGCATCTTCTTCGGCAACAATGAGCTTCACCAATGCATATCCCTTTGTAGCCAGTGCTCGTGTGATTTCCTGCCCCGATATTTCGTAGTCGGACTTCGGGCCTAAAACAAAGTCATACTTCTGAACTGCCTCGGATTGCACAGCCTTGATATTGCTCTGATCGATTGCAATCATTCGTCCAGAGAAGGTCGCTGCGATCCACTTCTTAGCAGCCTGGTCATACTGCACCAGCTGTGCTGAGACGCCATTTAGGTCGACCGCTTCGACGCCGTCCGCTGCTGCACTCGGCACTGGCTCTGCTTTGCCAGCCAGGCCACTGATTTCTACCAACGTGCCTGGTATCAGCGCCATTGCGAAAGACTCTGCTTCAACGGCTGTGAGTTGGGAAAACTGTCGTGTGAATGGGAAAAGTTGGGACCATTGAGTAGTTAGTATTGGACTTGAGTTTACGACGGGGGCCCCACCCGGCCTGAGCACGGAGATGTCACGACATGCACTAAATTAAATATCGACGAAACCGAAATCGCAGTTACCCACGCTGGAACGGTGAAGATAGAAAGCAACGATTCAGCATGACCGAATCATCGTTTTGGCGCTCGAAGGCAACACCGTCCATCCACCTGCTCACCGCAGTCACAGTCTGACAGTGCTGCAGCGTGATGGTCTGTCCCACGTTAGATTAGCTGGTGAAACAGGTCGCCCCGAGCACATGTTTGACCTAAGCCGTCTTGCGATTGAAGCCTCCTTGGCTTGAAACCAACTTCAATCTAAATGGTCTCATGATGTGCTGCGCGGCGCGGGTTCAGAAAAACGGCCAAAGCGAAGCAGCAAGTTCCCCCTTGTCTGCCCTGCCTGCCTTTGCTTTCTCAACGCCGTTCGGGCCACCAGAAACTGTGACTACCAGCGTGCCGGTCTCTGGAATCTCGCTGATTCTCCGTTATCTCCTTCCTGCGCCTCAATCCTCCCGAACGCAATGCCTGCACCGCCGGTTGCAGGTCCGGCGAGCGGTGCGATTCCGGGAGTGGTGCAAAGGTCTGACCATTCGCAGGCGCGGAGTGGGCAGTAGCCGGCACGGTTCCCGGCAGGATACGTCTTTCGGAAGACTGACGTACGTCTTCCAGCGCAGCACGAAAGCCCAGGGCGTCACTGTCTGTCTGTGCCTGCAGCTTCGTTTGCGGAGGAGACCGAACCCAGACATGGAGAAGAAACTCGCAAGCACAGAACCTCGCGTCTTGTTGATCTGCGAGGACGGGGCGTGGGCGCACCGGCCACCTATGCAGCGTCTAGAAGTCACGGAGACTGACAACAAAGCCTGTAACACCTCCACGCGAGGTCGCTTTCGACTTGGCGGTGTGGCCGTTTCTCCTGCTCTCAAGGCGGCGCACCATGCAGCAGCTGCAGCTGCACAGCACACAGCCCGACAAGTCGCCTGCTGTTATGGCTAGTGGCGTTGGTCGAGCTTCATCCGTAGACCTGTCATCGCAGTTCTCAGGGAATCACAGCACAAGCAGCAAAGCGGCCTTTGCGCTGCACCTCTGAGGATCATGAGATCGCCCTTGAGGGCCCCGATGCTCACCTGACATACCCTATCAGTGTTGATGATCGGATTCTTCCATGCGCGTGAACAGAAGGGAACCTGATGACTTTGTGCCACATACAACAACATACATCTGCATCCAACGCAGCATTAGTACCTTGGATAGTTAACTCGTACATCCTTGGCACCTTCAGCGACTTTGCGATGTTCACAAAGGTCCGGAGCTGAAGCGTGCCTGCCCAACCTTCGACAGGACCCCCCACAAAACTATCCAGCCTAGCATGCGGAATGGCCTCGGCTGGGAAAGATGACAGACACCTTGACTCTGCAAAGGCTTCCGCACATCACAATCTCTGACAAGCATTGCCAGTTTTAGAAGCCAAGGCAGGGGCCAGGTTCGGTAGACATCCCAACATGTACTGGAAGTCTTGTTTGCTGATGGACGACATCTCCCTCAAAGCATGCATCAATGACCAACGCAGAGGATCTTGGGCATCTTAGAGACCGGCAGAGTCGACAGATCTAAATGCTGAATCTGCAGGGCGAATCGCCTTCTCACGTCTGCAGGTAACAGGCGTAGTGTAAAGAGTGACGCGAAGCTATTGCTACCTCAGGGGGCTGTTGCCTTGTCCGGAAGCATTCCTGCAGCATCCTCAACTCGCGATGCTCTCCTCCCGGCAGCACCTGAACAAGAAGACAATTGAGTGGACGTGAGAAAACTTCCTCCCAGTGGATTAGGGTAGGACTCGTCCGCGCTTTGACCTCGCAGTAGTCCGACCGAAGTCGGCAAGCCGAAAATTTGCCAACTGGCCTTAAAGAGATGCATTGGCAGAACCCTTTTCAGAAATGAGCTTGAAGTCTTAGTCGATCGCGCTTGGTTGCACCAGCAGATGCACTGTAGGCACGCCGAGAGGTCGTTGTAACTCTGACGAGCTCACAGATGGTGAGCAAGCCGGGGTAGAAGGCTGCCTCGTGCTTCTCCAGCCTGGCACGAGTCACGTTGAGCTGCAACTTCCAAAGTTCAAAAGCTGACGGCAGCACAAGAGTTCCAGCAATCCTTTCTTCCGCGCGGGGGGTCCTGGGTTGGCCGTCTTTTGTGCACACAGCCACGTCGTTGCATGTCGTTGCATCCAGGCAGCCTCGAGATGGCTGAGCATAGGCCACCAAGGCTGAGCAACCTGTCAATTGGGCGAAAGATCGTCTCCTGCTGCAACAAACTCGCGCTCAAGGAAGCGTTTTGCGGCCTCCTTCAATCCTGGATGCAGCGGCAGGAACCTTGCCGAAAGACAAAGTGCTGTAGCCGCCTGAAGTGAAGCCCCATATCCTCTGCAATTTTCTCAGAGCTGGGCATTGGCAGGCTTGTCCTAAGAGTTTAACAGGATTAACATGCCACATCACGGTCGGCGGTCGTCTCCGTCTCTCCGGCGCCTTCAAGGCCGGAGCTCCGCGGAGACTTCCAGAGTGGCGAACTATGGCCTAAAAGGTGAAAGTCAGATGTCCGAAAACCCCCAGGTTACGCATCGTGGATCGTGGGCCTCCCGAATAGCGTTTTGCACCTCCATATCGTTTTGCACCCGCTTGCGAAGCTGTTCACGTTGTGGCTTTGACAACGACATGGCCCGACAGAACCTTGGATGCCGCTACCAAAGAAAGAAAGGACCTCAACCGGATCTCCATGGCTCTCAGCTCTCAGGTGCTTGCTTTGCGAAGCCCTTCATCGGGACCTTCCGAGTTCAACGCGATCTGCAAGATGACGGCATGATGACTCATTCTCCGAGTAGTCCGCAACGCAGCCATCGACCTCCTCTGCCTACACTTGCAGTACATTTACAGTACGCCAACATAGTCCGTTACAACATAGTCCGCAACACGCAGCACACATCTTTGTGTCACTCAAAGCCCAGCCTGGCTCTCGGGAAGTTGGGTCTGCAGGGACCCTGGTGGAGCTCGCAGAGAATCCTCAGGCTCCGCTGCCTCCTTCACCGAGGAATCGCAGGCGACGTCTGGCAAGAAAGACGCTCTTTTCTGAGTGCCTCAAAGCGCGTTTCTTGAGACTCAAAAGCCAAAGGAAGGCTCCCGGAAGTTGAGGCACAGAGCGCTGTCGCTGACACTAAGCCACTAAGCAGATCCTTGGCCCAAGCACCGGAGACTAAGCTGAAAGGCAGTCTATCGAAAGAGAAACAAGCGAGCAGTTTCAATGTGGGTCAGACTCGTCAGCCATCTGCATTGTCGCTGCCCCAACACGCGTAACTAGCCGAAAATCGAGGCACAGTTGGTAAGACGGCCGGCTCCTTAGACTCAACACTACGAGCAACCGTCGATTCCTTCTTGAATTTACCTACAAGCAAAATGGACCCCCATCGCAGGGAAAAAGACACTTGCAGACATCCAAAGCAAAGCGAGATAAGGACAACGGCCATGCAGATGCAAACTCCTCTGCCTCCGTTGCACCCGGAGCCGGAAGCACCCGGAGCGGTTCTTCAGGTGCTGGCAGAGCCAGAGGGACAGGTCTCAGCAGTGCGATTCTGAGGAGTCTCCCATGCCAGGCACAGCCACGTATAGGAACCCGGCTTGCGCTGTCGTGCTGCCTCCTGATTTGGTGCGTCGTACAGAAGTTTGCAATGCATCCTTCCTCTTCTCTTCCTCGCGCCGCAATTGCTCCAAGGCGACCAAGACCTCCTGGAGCATCGCGGCCTGCCCAGAGCCCATGCTGGCAAAGAAGGCAGCATGGACATACGATGTCGCGCCTGTTTGGCTTTCTCAAGGTCCTTCTGCCTGCACAGAACAGTCAGGAGCTTAGAGTTTAGACTAGGCAACTTCACGCGGCACTTCTTCTCGTAGGTCTTGGCATCCCGAATCTCTCTGGCGATGTCGTGTGACCTGACTAGATTTCGATCGCAGGCCGGACCGGGTGCGGGGTGGGGTGCGGGGCACGGGGTGCGGGGCACGGGGTGGGGCCGGGGGTGGGAACTAATTAGCCGCACTGGAGCAGAAAGCAATACGAGCTGTCCAGATCGAGATCCTTCGTTGCGGTGGTCTCAGCAACACATACCGGAAGAAAGCTCAATTGCTGGGGACTGGGCGATCCGCGCATTTCGCGAAGCTGCTGCAGTCTGTTTCGTAACTGTAATGCCTGCTGCAGCTGTGCTTGTTCGAAAGTTGGAGATGGCACAACACTGAGCCGAGGATGCCGTCTCAAGGCGATGAGTGAAAGGACCATTGATCATCTTTTTTTTTTTTTTTTTGGGAAAACCATTCAGGCTGTTCACCTGACCATCCGGCCTCTCGGATGCTAACCCGGAACTGCAGAACTAATCTAAGTTCCGGGTCGGCATCGTAGGCTTCTTCAAGGGCTTCCTGAGACCACGAATCAGATCCAACCACGTCTGCCCGACTCGCAACAGCAGAACAAAACCCATCCTGATCGAAAAATGAACGACAAGTTGATGCAACGGCGGCGTCTCCCATCTACGAGCTTCATTCAATGCTGCTTGGAATAACTAACGTCCTTCTAATGTACCGTGCTGTTTGACGTCAGGATCCGATTGCAGACAGCAGCCCCACTGCTAGCTCGTAACATCTCGTCTGGCAGGCAAGTCACTCTGAAAGCTTCACGCTCCGAGGGTGCCGAAGTGGTTTTCTCGTCGACCTGGGAATCGAAGATTGAAGCAAAGAATGCGGCCGTGGCGGAATGCGGCGGCCACGAGCCGGCCTTCCGCCGGAGCTCGACCTTCTGCGAGTCAGCATTGCCATGTTTTGCCAGAAGTGGCCGGAATTCTAAGTCGCTGGCGAGGGCGACGTGCCAATCGTGCGCTCTTTCAATGTCGCGCACATTGAAAATAGCGCATTGGACTCTTCGGATGGACAGGCCTTGCCGGCGGCGATATCATGACAGGTGCCAGCTCTTACATCTCAGGCATGGGCTGACTTCCCAGGTGCCTCAGTCGGTCATGCTCATGCTTGAAGGTGGATCATCACCTTGGCATTTCCGGCCTCGCTTGGTCTGATAGAGGCCTCGAACAGCCGGACCTTCAGCAGGAACTGCGGCAGACCTCATTGGGCCGATGTGAAAGGCCACAGCATGCGAGTATCAGTTTCACCAGGGAGCTCTTTGGCAGCGTTGCCATGAAGATTCGGCATCTCCCTTGCGACACGCGAGGGAGGAAGGGAGGAGGCAGCATGTTGCGTGATTTCGTGAATTCAAGCGGTCGGCCGCGATCTTTGCAAGTGCTTCCGGCAACATTCCAGGACCTGCTCAAGGACTCATCCCTGAAACTGTGAAAGTGCCATTTTCCGGAAGCCTGCGCAACGTGTGTCTCCAGTGCGGCTGCCCATGCAGACTCGGGAAGATCCATCATACCGACGACCGTCCTGAGCCAAAGTCATGTGCTCACGACTCTCCGGGCCTTCAGCCCTGCCACCTGGCAGCCTCCCGCCAAGGTGTGTCGCCCATCCTCAGTTTCTGCGATGTCGATGCCCAGCTCTCTTGGCACAGCATCGCTCAGCGAGGCACAAGACAAGCGGTTCCGAGGATCCACATTCGGCGGAGCCTGCAGAGCCGCAGGAGACGCGCATCAATGCGGATCCTTTCGTGCCACGTGACACGAGATGTGCATGGCCTGCATAGCCTGTGGCCGAAGTTCTCGTGCAGGTCCAGCTCGGCGCAAGCCGCTCGGCATCTGTTCATCTTGTTCATATCATCGCGCGACTGTGCGGTATGTGGTATCTTTTCGCCTTCTTCTCCAGCCGCCCGAAGTCCGGCATCGTAGTCAGCACGAAGCCTTTGGTCGCTGAGCACCTCCGCCGGTCGTTGCCGTGAGGAACCGCAAGAGGCGGAGAGTAAGCATTGGGGAAGCACCTCGAAGGCCTGGCGGACCCGGACGTAGGCATCATGGCTCCCACCCTGAAGGCCAAGCACAAGAAGCGCCTCTCCAGCATGGCCTATCTCGCGTCCTTGTCCGGATGAGTCTGCAGCGCCCTCTGCCGGTATGCTGTACAGACGGCCCGATGGCTCGCTGACCAACTCAAGCCAAGCTCGCCTTGGCCACCACTACACGGGACTCTTGGGCCTTGGGCCTTGGGCGAACTCCTGAAGTTCCAGGTTCCAGGCGGTAGTGCGTCATCTCTCACGCGAAGTGGAAGCGGGGGCCTCAGCCAGGGAAAATCGTCTCTGCGTGACAGGCCTGAGGAGCCTCAGCTGAGGCTGAGACTGAGGCTGACATCATGGATGCCCAGCTGCAGCCCTCTCCCTCCGATGCATCTCAGCTGCGGGGAACCCGAACAAATCTATGCAATGCCTGCAGTCGGCGCAGGGTTTGGGACAGGTGTACAAGATGACAAAGCAGTTTCTCCGCTCGTCCAGACTCCGAATACTCTGCTGTACACCTACGCGCGGGATCCGGAACATTAACGATTCCGTAGCAGCGCAAAACGCTGTCAGTGAAACTGCACGGAGTGAGATCTGTAGGCCTGCTTTGATCTGCACTGCCTCCAACCCTAATCCACGAAATTCACACCTGTAGATTGAAACTTTCCGAAAAGACTGCAGGCAGTGAAGTTGTTTGTGGCTCCTGTCCGGTATCAAGTGCCGTCTTGGCAAAGGACTCCGAGCTGCAGCTCGGGGACGCATGGCCTGTTCAAGGGCGGAGTTGCAGCTTCCGGCTCTTGCGGCTCTTGCAAAAGGCTGGGCTCCCTGCCCTGCTCCCTTCGGGCATGCTTCGGAAGACCTTCCGAAACCGTTCGTTGCTCTCCGGCTGTTTCAGGGACTTATGACCCCTCTGTGGTAGAGGCAAAGAGAGCAGTCAGAACTTTTCGGAAATCGTACCCGATGGTGTGGTAATCGGATGCGCTGGACCGGAACACCGAAGCAATGCAGGCTGGCTGCACAGATGAAGGCTTCGTTATATATACTCCGACGCAGCAGCAGGCCCACGTCTTTCTGGTTGGGCATGGGACTGGTCATCATTCGTGACATCATGTGAATGAATTGAGTAGGGATTGAAGCTGTCTTTTTCCACGCAAATCCGCTTCACGAGGCCGGGACTGTCTGGAGTCTGAGACGGGCCAGTTGTCCGGGTCAGGTCCTCGAAAAGCAAAGCCATCACAGCAAGCACGATCAGAAAGCTCGGTCCACAGTACCGGACGTGGCGACAAGCTGGCTGTGCAATTGCTCGCCGAACTCGACGGCGAATCTGGAAAGGGAAGAGACCAGCAGAAAGGGTGTGTCGAAGCAGCATTGCAACCTGACTCCAAGCAGACCTGGCCTTCTGCACGGCCCTCCCGAGGCTGCTCAGAACAAAGCCTCCAGCTTTGCCCGCAGAAATGCTGTTCGGGTTCCTCCCCGTTCCTCCCTGATGCGAGCTCCAGGCTTTGGCTCGGTCTCCGGCTCCGCATCCTTCACCTCGAGGGGCAGGGCGCAGGGCAGCGCAGGGCTGTCCCCAACGAATCCCCTCGCCTCTGCGAGCCTCTCAATTCTGCTCCTCGCCTGCGAAAGCCAAACCCCATCTCCCCTCCTCAAGTCGTCGAAGTGAAGGTTCCAGGTTCCCCTGCCTTCGCCAGCTTCTCCCGCATTTGGGAATTGGGGCTTCGCGGCGTCTCTCTGCACTCCTGCGCGATGAAGCAAAGACGGAAGAGTCTCATATAGTAGTCAGAGTCACGCTTGCCGTCACAACTCTTCGGGTCCTCAGGGTTCGGGTTCGTCATGGTGGCCTGCCTAGCCTCACTTTTTCCATGAATCCTTTCCTCGAAGACTCTTGCTTTCTGCCAGACAGCCACACCAGTGCTGGACTCTTTGTTCGGCTTGGTATGTGCACTCTGCACAAGATTCTCCTGTTCGGCCCTGGCCGACAGCTGCAGCTTTAATTCACGGATTTCCTCTTGGTGATCTTGAAGTGTCTGAATGTCTACATCTCGCTGAGTCTCCAGGACTTTCAGCTTCGACTCTGCTCGTCGTCGCTCTGTTTCAATGCCGTTGCGCTCTTTCAGAGCACGCTCCAGCCGACCGACCTGAGCAGAACTGCAGTCTTTGCAGAAAAGAGCTCACAAGCACAGGGAATGTCATCGCGGCCGACCTGGACATCGTTTTGCGCCTTCTGGACTCTCGCTTCGCGGCCCAACCTTTTCAGTGAAGCGCTTTGCGGTGAAGTTTGAGACTACGAGTGGCGAAACTTAGGCTCGATCTCAATCAGGCGCTCGCGAGCGGCGACCAGCTGACAACGAGTCTCTTGGGCCTGTCGCCAATCGCGAAGAGGCAAGGCCAACACACGGAGCAACGCGGAGCGATTCAATGCCTCGATCTGAAGGTCCCCACATCTCCTTAAATCGCAGCTCATGACAACTGCAAAAAGCTCTCATGCACGTCAGTGACCAAGCCTTCGCAGCAAAGCTCGGGGGAAATCGGGAGAAGCAAAGCACACAGAAACTTGTAGTCCGGTGTCGACTACGGCCTACGTACGTGAAGCAATCGGAGATAGAACAGGCGGGAAAGCGCGAGAGTGGCGAGAGACGGCACAGAGCCGTTAAGATAGCAAGCTGTGACGTGGACGTTCAGGCTCTCTGGGTAGAGGCACAGCTCGACTGCACCAACCAACTTTTTGCACTCTGTTCCTTTCTTCCTTTATGCATTTGCTACTCCTCTCTCCCCAAATGGCCCAAATATGTGGGGGGTGGCTAAATTATAAATGCTGGGGGCAACGAATGGCTTCGTGGCTCGGGTTGATATTGGAGCAAAATCTCCTCCGCACTGTCTCATGGCGGAAGCCTCTTCAAACGACGCCGGGAAGCTTCCTTTGGAGCGCCTCGCGCTGCGCAGAAAATCCCGCGCTGGCGAGAGCGGCGAGAGTCAGAGTGTGCATGTTGAGGGCAAACCGTCCTGCCGCCAGAGTGTTTCTGGACCTGAGAAAACGTCGCCTTTCTTGGATCATGTTCGTGGTACGGGTTTGCAGGGCATGCCGGGATATGGCTCACGAGTCCCAAGGCAGAGTGTAAGAGGGCTCGGATCGTTCCCATGATGCCCGACAACCTCTGACAGCATCACAGCGGCACTTCTTAGCAACGCAAGTGTGTTTCTGCTCTTTGAAAACCGCAAGGGCCGCATGGATTTGCAAAGCTCGTTGTCGAAATTATTTGTAAAGAAACGAGACATCTTGCAAAATTTCTCTCGTCACCCACGGCCCGAGAAATGATATCGGATGTGTGTATGTCGGGTCCAACACTGGGAATGTGCCAGGGCACTAGATACCCACTGTCAGCCCGAAACCACAACACGCACAAAACAACGAAACACTTGGTGGCGGCACGCTAAACTTTAAGCATCGACTCTATCAAGTCAAGGAGGTGCACACCACTCCCTCTGGACCCCCCCCAAAAAAAAAACATAAAACAAACAGTACTGCTACCCTTGGCCTGCAAGCAGAAACACACACTATATAGTCTATACCGATTTGTCAACAAATTTAGCTGTCACCAAGCGGCTTTTGCTCTGCACGCAAAGCATCGAGGGCCTGCTTGCACAAAGATTGTTCTTAGACGAAAGAGCCACTGCACATCACTGCGCGATGACTACCTCTTCCAGGTCGCGCGACGTCTTCTCACACCTGATCGCATGGCTGGGACGATTCAGGCGAGCAAGAGGTTCAAGGCAGTTGGACGCGAACGAGGACCAAAGCACCCGCAGTGTGCCATCAATGCACTTTGATGTGTGGTCCATGACAGCCACGGTGAAAGCTGGGCTATTGCAGAGCATGACCTTTGCAGGGGGCCCTGTGAATGCAATTGCGACGTAGGAGTCTGTGACATGATCGAACAGCGGTTTGCGGTTGACTGTTGATGGGAGTCCACTGGAAGGATTCGTAAAGCGCCTTTCTGGTTCAAGCTGATTCCGGCTCGTTACGCTACGAGTTGAGGTCTGTTCTCAAGCTCCTGCGAGGATGCTGCAAGACCTGGCCTGCCACAAACTCCCTCCCACTTGGTCCTGGCACACTTGAGAGGGTCTCAAACTGTCTCAGGACAGCACGACAGGCGCTCAGGCTCACACGTCTGGCACTCGCTGTCACGAAGCCCCTCGCATTGTTGCGACACCTTCGCAGTCTCGCAGAGTGTTCTGCTCTCTGCTCTCGACGCAGCCCAGTCCCACTTCGCGCCTTTCGGCCCGGTGCGGACCTCCTGGCACCGGCATGGGCACCGGAAAGGGATCCGGCATGTGTCCCGTGTTGCGCCCTGCACCTTTGACATCTGGACCACGCGAAGGTGGAAGCCTGCCTGCGGCTCAGTGGGTCTGCAGCTCTACAGAACATTTGTGCGGCGAGCTCGCATTTACAAACGCGGAGGTGCGTTTTGCAACTTGCGACGTGCGCAGGCTTCGATCTGCAACTTTTGCTGCAAGATCGCTATATATATATATATGTGGCTACGAAGTGACACTCTGCATGCGTGATGTTTACGTTGAACTCCAAGCGCATGCGCGTTCGAGGCATTGAAAATGCGGTGGTTCCCACCATGCCACCAAGTGGCTGACAATTCCATTCGTTTGGATGAAACCGAATGCTGTTCAGCTTGGCTGAAAATTTCTCCACCACACTTGCACGGGCAGTTCCTTGTCCGGTTGTAGACTTGGACAATTGCGTTTTTTATTCCAATCGTTTGCCTTGCAAGACCTAGACTAGCAGTCAATACCGCATACGTGCACTTTCGAGCACTTTCAACCTGTGGCCAGCTGGATCTCCTCAGCAATCAGCTGCTCACATGCCGATACGACCTGGGACAGAGCGGTACACTCGCTGCGCAAGCAACGCAAGCATGGGGCGGTTCCCCATCTCAGGCAAAGACTGCCTGCACCATGTCTGCTTCGGACTGTCCTTGGCGACGCGACTGCCGGGGCAGCCCGAAGCGACGGATGCGTGGACGGGTGGACGGGGACCAGACCTATCTTGGCCGTGGCCTTCATTTGCAGGATCCCTTGACTTTCGATCTCACAGGAGACATCCTCGAAGTGTCGGTCCTCTGCAAAAGCACTACCGCTATGCCCTATGCAGCTTTGCTCCTGACACTCCCTTTCCGTTGCAAGAGCTGCCTCCGCATCTTCTACGAGGGCCAGCTTCAGTTTGACACCAACCTCGGAGTTGCCGCGAGACAGCCTTCATCCAAACTCTCAACAATGATCGAGGCACCTGGAAGCCGCCGGTACCTTAGTTTGCCGACAATCTCGGGCACATTCGAGCAGAGTCTGTGAGCAGTAGGCCAACTCTGGACGGACACGATGTCAGGAACCCGAAAGCCTCACACGCGCGTGCACTTGACGGACTCCGGACTCCCACGAGGGACGAAAGATGGCTCAACGAGACGACGAGACCTGCCTCGTGTGAGGCGAAGTTCAGACCTTCGTGCTGCAAACCCAGCTTTAGGGCACCTGAGCCAGACTTCGCCAGAACTCTTTGGCTCCCCCAAAAGGGCTCCCCCAAAAGGGCTCCCTCCGGCCTTCTAGGGCACAGAACCGATCAAAGGCCTTCTGGGGGCTGCTTGCCGTGGCGATCAAGCGAAGATGATCCTCAAAGAAAGCCGCTCTGCTCTGGACTCTCAGAGTCTCGACTCTAGTCCGCACTACGAGGCGACCCATAAGAGGAAGATGTGTGCATGGCAACAACTGTTTGCGTGTGTCACAGCTTTGGCTTCAGACCTTTCAAGCACCTGCAAGATAGCCCTGTCTTCCAGATTCTGCATCGTTCCACGAGGCGTTCCGATTCATGGAGGCTTGCTTCTTCGTCGAATCTCGCAAGCATCTGCCAAAGCAAAAGTATAAACTAGCAATTTTGTCCGAGCACTTTCAGGCCCGGCGATGGAGGGCGAAGGTGAGGAGTGGAACATTGCAAGTCACCCGAGACCTGTCTCGTAACAGCATGTGCGTATCTCCCTGCTCCAAACAGGTTTTGGAGGCTTCGATGAACAATTTGGTACGAATTCAGAATGCAGACCTTCCCCTCGCACTGTAGGCGGCTTGAACTCTGACTTCGCGAAAGGAATTGGGGGTCTTTATGGCGTGCAGTACTCGTGTCGCCTCTTCATTGATCCAGATGGCCATGTCCTTCGAGCTGTTCACGTAGACGCCACGCGCCTCAGTCTGCGCGTGGCGTCTCACAAGAAGAAGCGAGAGCCAGAGCCCGTCTCCCTCCGCAGTCTGCACTCACAAGCCGACCAGCAGGCCTGGGGCCAATGTTTGCCCATGCCCGAGGAGAGGAACATTGCGGAGCTCGGAGCTTGGAAGAGCAAACCATGACTCTCCAGGTCAGCTGCATCCTGCGAAGACACCGGCGCACAGATGTACACAGCTTCTCATACGGCCTTTCAGTGTCCTCTGCCATCATACCACCATCATTGGCCACCTGGCGGCTTCAGACTTGACGAAACACACCGAGCACCGAATGGTACCCATGAAAAGGCTCTCTGAGGAAGCAACAAATGACCCAGAGCCGCTGAGAGGGAAGTAATCGCCCGCCAGGTCCTGAAGCGCAAAGACCGGAGAGGTTCCACGCTAGAACAACTTCACTCCCACGCTCTGCCCCTGAGCTCCGATCCCCGTCCCACTCAAGAAGAACCTGTGCCGTCTGTGAAATTGGAGTTTGCAGCTGGACCTTGCACCCGCCTTCGTAACGACGCGCTCCAGGTCTGCACGCTCATCGAGAGCCATCGCTGATGGAAAGCAGAAGTTAGCCAGATTCCGGGATGCCTCCGAGGTGCCGTGAGGCGATGTCGCGGCGATGTAGAGTCAAGTTGACAGACCGCCTCTACTCGAGCACCGATGACGTGGCCCCCATACGCCGCGACAGGCCTGCTGACCTGAACTTCAAGTGACTCTGCTGCCCTTCAGCTGCGTCCAAAGGCCGGAACACACGCTGGATCCAGAGCTTCAGGATGGCGTGGATGGGAGTAGCCGTTTACCTTTTCGACAGACAGCCAGAGTTGCGTGACCGTTGCCCAGCCTTCGGGAATCTGGCTGCGAGCGCAGGAACGAAGATTGGAGCAAACCTCGCTGAATTGCGAATAGATCGCATGCCAAACACAGCATGTAGCGCCAGCAACCCGCACAGCCCCAAGCACAGAATAGCTCTCTGCATCTCCGGCGACCAGTCCAGAGCTCCTGACGGCGGCTGGTAAAAATCTTCTGCCACATGGCGAACACCCGGCAAACTGCCAGCTGCCTGATCGCATTCCTAGCCTTGTTGTCCATGCCAGGCCTTACCACCACAAGTTGCGTTGCGCTCCGAACAAACCAGTCTCAGCGAAACCGGAAAATCAACACGTCCCGCAGACTGTGCGTTCATTTCGCGGACATTGTGAGATTGCTGGGTGTGCGGGGCGATTATGAAAACGGAAGCAGTCCGTGAGAACTCCGTTTTTGGAAGCTCTGCTTGGTAGTCGCAGCTGCTTTGCGTTCACGTTCTCTCCGCGCCCGAGAGTTGCCCATCATTTCACGGCTCATCATCTCTGATTCTGCTGGAAGAAAACGATGGATTGGGCGAGTTTTTCCTGCAGAATGCTGCACGATCTCGGCCTTCGTCGGCTGGTCCTTGAACCACTCCAAATGCAACAGGGCTTCATCAGCACGAAACTTACAGGACGCTATTTTTTTCACGTTCCAGATGCAAAGTCAAACGTTCCGTGCCAGACTTGTGAGGTCTGGCGGAGCCAGTTTGGGATGAGTGGTGTTGGCCGTTGCTGTGAAACGCTTCTGGGCTCATTTGATCATGGCCTCTCGACTTTGCAGATGCCACTTCTGCGGGGTGCGACTGGTTTGCTTCATATTTCAGTTGAAGTCAAGAGCAAGTTCAAGGTGGCTCTTTGAGGGCGTGGTTAGCTTACACGCCGCACGAGACTAGATTTGGGCTGCATGAGTTGCAATAACTTGACTTCACCGAAACCCATCCTGACGCAAGCGACAAGTAGCCTCACACAACCTCAACCTTTTAAAGCAGCATTCTCGAACACGGGCCACCCCCCTTGCCAATCACCAAGGCCTCTAAAGTGATGTTGGCTGGGAAACCCGACAACTCGGTTGGAAAGCATGCGAAAATCTGATGATGGGCGGTCAACATACATGTTAAGGGGCGTGAGAAATGCCAGTGCTAGCATCCGAGAGGAGATGTTGTCGGAAAACAAACACCGAAACCCCAACAACGACCTATCTGATTGAGCATCCAACTGACCGAACTCACTGAAACTCAACCTCTTAAACAAAATCATCTGACGGCCTATCGAAAAAAGAACTTTGGCTAATCTACCCCAAAAGCGTCTACACAGTTACGAGTTTTGACATGAGGCGAAGGCTCTAAGTATGCAAGCAGGCGTTGGATTCGATAGGCGGAGAACCGAATTTCATCGCAAGAAACGACAAGTCAAGAACTCGAAAAAGTGTTCGACCTTTCTGCGTTTCGAAGTTTCACGTTTGTCTGTGCTTTTCGCACTTTTCTGCCATTTCTCGCGTTTCTGAGATTTTCGGTATTTCGGCGTTCGACGTGTCTCGTTTATTTGTCTGCGTTTTTTTCACTCTCCTGTACTTTCCGGTCTTTTCTGTTTGTCGAAGTTTTGACTTTTTGCTGCGATTTCACGCTTTTAGATCGGATGCTTCGGCTTTTCACATTTCTCTGAGCGTTCTTTGCGAATGTTCGGTCGATTATTTCAGGCTTTGACACAAAATCTCCACGCCAGGCTTCGGGTGACCGTGAATCGAGCAGCAGTCCGCAGTAGTCGTAGTAGTACTGTCACTGGTTGCTGAATGTCAAACCATTTCGGGCTCCGCGCCAGCCACCAATACTTAGCCAACACATGCGCATTTTTGCCGGGTTTCCGGATTAGGCGAACTCTTCGAGCGTGCTCTTTCAGTGTTATTTGAGAATGCTGACAACAACTAGGCAAACCATATGGAATTGTGGTTTGTTGCTCGGGTCTTGGAAGCCTCCCAGCTGCATGTTTTTTGATCTGGATTTTTCAGTTCATCCACTCAGTGTTCTGTTGCTCGGTTTTGGGATACTTCGGCTGACTTTCAACAGGCTTGGGAACCGCAAGTTCGCAAACTTCAGTGATCTGGTATTCTCAACCGAGAAGGGACGGAGCCATCCGTGTTCTGGTGTATTTTTCCTGTTTTCGGAACCCCAACAACAAGGCATGCGCGCCTTTCGCAGCCGCGGAAGGTATATCGATTGCGTTTGGAAGGATGTCGAGCACAGATGAAGGCCGAAGTGGTGAAGACACCAGCAGACGCAGTGAATTCGAGATGTTGCATCAAAAGTGGCCACATTGGCATGTATGGAGAAGTGTGGCAGACATGGGTTAAGAGGCATATTTTACAAATTTGTGTTTAAGCGAGACCCGGTTGAAGACACAACATCCAAAAAAAAATCCGTCGGTCTGCGTGGGGTTTCGTGGCATTGGCAAAAGTGCCGATTTTCAGTAGAGTGTGTTTGGATTTCGAAAGCAGGGTGCGACAATGTGTAAAACCAAAACCTGGCGAAAAGTTGCTTTTAATCTGTTATTTCCAGGGTTGAAATAGGTAAAGGTTTAGGTCGAGGTCTTTCGGGCGCGAGCTCCTGCAGTCAACAGGTGTAGATAACACTGTAAAAACCGTAGGATTGGACCTGCCCGAAAACAAGGGCCTTTTGAAAACAAACAAAAATGCCGCAAATACCGTGTTGTTCGCTTCTTGACGTGCAAAAACGCATGCAAATTGCAATAGACTCATTCCAGCAAGGGTCCGCACGGAAGACCAACACGCAGGAGCAGTCCGCAGGTGTAGAAAACACTGTAAATACCGTAGGATTCGACTCTTCCGCATGAAATTACCCCCCACCCACCCCCACCGCCGTCAAGTAGCAGACCCTCCATGGCGGCAAAAAGCGTGTATACCAAAAACAAGTGTTGATGACTCGTGAGCATTTCGTGTGCCCAAAAGCACCAAAGAGTGAACAAGACACAAGCATTTCGATTTGTTTTGCCGGTCCGAGGAGCCAACCAAGAACCTTGCACTTGTGAAATTCCCATCTGGTGTTTCCTCGTTGTGGGCATCCTCGGAATCCCTGCAATGAACTAAACCAACGGCATGTTTTTATTTTCCTGGTCTCAGAGACCCTTAATGGCAACTTTCAATGATTTTTGAGCATCTCGTGGTTCCGACAGCACCAAAGTGGACCTGTGTTTCGGATCTGGGAACCACCGAGTGTCTCATCCAACTAAGAAGTATCCAAAACCAAGGATGCTTTTGACCGAGCTGGGTCTTCGGGTTAGGCGAACTCCCCGAAAGCGCTTGCCTCAGTGGTGTTTGACCAGACATGTTGAGCTTCCCCTTTTTTCGGTGGTTATGGATTTTTAACGTGTTCCATCGTTTTCGATATTTCACTTTTTAACTTTTCGATGTGTAGCCTTCCGCAATACGTTTCGACTTTTCGCACTTTTGACTTTTCGACTTTCAAACTAAATTTTGGCTATGCCTTTCGACCTTTCGCGTCTTGCTGCATTGTTCGACTTTGCGCGGCTTTTCGACTTTTCGTTTTTGTTTGTACTTTTCGACTTTTCGCGGTTTTTGTTCGGGTTGCCTCAAAATCTTTATTTATCCAATGGCCACGTTTCGAATTTTCAGTTTTCGCATGCCGTTTGGTATTCTCCCCCTGTCTGCGCCAACAGCCATTCGCAAACACCGGGAAACCTGGCAACCTGCAAATCATGTCTGCCTCGAACCGCCATGTCGCAATCGCAAAGTTTGACTGTGCCTACGTGTGAGCGTGCTCAGCTGGCTAATGTTTTAGTAGGGTTCATTAGAGTATCTTGCCCTAGAATGCCATTTGGATATCTTTCTTCTATTTGACGTCTATTTGACGGGGTCCTTTCCGCCATGCCAAGACCAGGCTGGTTAATGATTCATGTCAAGGGCAGTGAGAATTACGCTGTCTGCCTAAATGACTAGACCTTTGGGCCGGGAAGGAACACTTGGGTGGCAGACAAGACTGGGGATGAAGGCCAAGAGCTGCTGGGAAGCTGAGTGGCGGTGCCACAGGGAAGTGAGCGCAACTACAGCCGTGCTTGAAAACCTGCTTCAGCTGCTTTTGCCAGTCGCCAGTCTTATGGCATGCTTGGAATCACCTGACAGCTGGTCGTCCATTTGCAATTCAAGCGCCTTTGGTGTTGTGGGAGCACCCTGTTTCGAAGCCCTTCCGCTTCCTAAGAGCCCCTCAGGCAAGCAATTAGGCAGCGTTCTCCACTGATTGAAACAAAATGCTGAAAATGAAGTATGCACATATATAGATATAATAGATATAGGTATACGTATATATGTAACACGGCGCAGCGGGAGACTTCCGCCCTGTAACAGCTTCAGTTGCACTACGTGTGTTCCCTCCAACTCCCCAGTCCCACCGATGGTAGATCCTGGGGGGGCGCGTATTTATATATATATATATATATGCTACCCCCCCCCCTCGAATCCGCACTTTGAGCGGTTTTATGTAAATAAGCCTGATTACAGTATTATTTCAACCTAAACCATGAACCAGATCTCAGAGGCATGCAGAGAAGAATGGTATCACCTTGGCTGCAGGAGTGGTGCACGACGCAGTACCGACGCACCCTACACACAAAAAAAAAACTGTTAGTTCCGATCCCATGGCCGTTGTGTTTTTGCGCAATCCTGCTCTAGAAGTCAGATCGCTTTGCGAGTTGCTTCAGAAGCAGGGCATACTCTCGTGAGGTGAGACGTCGCTCCTCGTCGTCGTCGTCGTAGGTCCAACAGGAGCCCCTGACCTGCCAAACCACTGTTCCTTATGCAAGATCAAAACATTGGAACCAACAGCGCTGCTTCTGTTTACATCACCACGAGCCATCAAAAGATACCAAGATTCCGTTCGGAAGCTTTGCGAAGCGGCGAGGCCACTCACGAGGTGCTTTAGGTGCGACTCTCGGATCCGTTGGCACATGGTCTAAGACAAGTTTGAGGATATCATCTGCGACGCATGCTGGGAGATGTTGCCAGATATTCACATCAAAAGACCAAGTCTCCATGGCTTCTGCTTGGCAGGGAACATATCAGACTGGGCCTTCTGATCCTACAATATGCTTCTCGAGCTGCATCAGTGTCATGCGGGGGCCTCCCTGTAGTCATCAAACACTCTTGGTTTAGTGCGTCGGCCCGTCTCCTTACTGAAATAGTCTAAGTTGGAAATGTTGGGACCGCAAGACCACGATGATGCTA